ATCAATTACCTGTGGATATGCATAAAGTAAAATTTTAGCCATCCGACTGCTTTAAACTCATCTTTAACCTTTTTTTAAAATTGCTTAGGCTATATTCTTTATGCTCACTTGATAAGCAGTTATATAGTTTGGGTGCCCAGTACGAGAAACTGCGTGTGAACAATGCTGTCGAATGCCGCGGGATAAGTAAGATGAGTTTATTCCTAGAGGATCTTTGATCGTACTGGCAGAGGAGGCTTAGTTTTGTATAAAGATAATATGGCGCTTTAAGGATAAGGGTCTTATGTACCAGAGATATTCAATGCAGTTTCCTCAATTTGTTCATCTTAAACCATCCCGATTGGTCAAAAGCGCTACTAATATGATCAAATTTACGGATTCCATAAGAAAATCTGATGCATGAGTTTTGTATCATCTGAATCATTTCGGCATCACGTTGTAAAAGAGCAGGTCCATAAACAGAGTCACCGTAAGATAATTTTGACAGGATAAGGGACTCGCAGAGTTTAAGCTTGAGCTGTGTCGACAGGACACTTCGACTCGGGTATAACTGACGAAGCATATTATAGGACGCATTGCATAGTTGGTTAACATGTTTAGTGAAGCGTAGCTTGCAGTCAAACCAGATACCAAGGTTTTTGCATTCGTTTACGAAGGATATGTCTTCATTATTCACCATAATATTAATGCGATATTGATTTATTTTACGATTCTTTTTGGGCCCAAATAAAATGCAGCATGATTTGCCAGGATTTAGTTTTAGATTGTGAGCACTAGATATGTCAAAAATAGACTGCAGATCTTGATTGATTTGATGTTGGCCAAGCATATATTCATCAGGATCGAAGCAGTTATAAAGTTGGGTATCATCGGCGTAATGATGAACGATTGAGTTGCTGGCGGTTTCATGAAAATCAATAAAAGGGGACTCAAAATAGATCCTTGAGGGACATCAAAATTTCTGAATAATGAAGTTGATATATTGTTTTCATATATGACAGACTGTGAGCGATCAGTTAAAAAGCTCTTAATCAGCGTGCAAGCCGATGATGACAGGCCAAAGCTTTTTACAGAGAATATTTGGGTCAACCGTATCGAAGGCCTTGCTAAAATCAAGAATAACTAAGCAGGACAGCTTTCCTTGATCAGCCGCGCTATAAATATGATCCGATATAGACAGGAGCGCAGTGGTGGTGCTATGTAATGGTCTGAAGCCAGATTGGGAGGTGGTCAGTAAATTATTTTGACAAACAAATGTGTGCAGCTGCTCATGTAGAGCCATTTCCAAAAGCTTAGATAAACTTGGTAAAATGCTTATAGGACGAAGATCCGAAAAACTTGAAGGATAATTAGATTTAGGCAGAGGGAGAACAAGAGCATTCTTCCAGGAAGAGGGATAAAGATTATTTGTTATACAAAAGTTAATAATGAAGGTAATATACTTATGTATTATACGGATCATATCAATTGTGATGCCATCTGAGCCTTTAGCATGACTTTTGATGCGATTGATAAATTTCTCTACAGTGGCAGGGGAAACTGTCGTGAACAGAAAAGTACCACTATTCTTGACGTTTTCATATTTGTCTAAAAGGTTCAATTGAGTTAATGATTTGGTTGTTTGAGGTACGTTTAAAAAAGCACTATTTAATGAATCGAGATCCTGAAGATGTGGAGGTAGACTTATGGAGTTATGTTTAACGATATTCAAAGATCTAAGTATATTCCATGTAGTCTTCGAATTTTTATGTCTCATAACATAATCGAGGTAGGCTTTTTTCTCTCGCCTAATAGCACTACAAACGTAATTTCTGATTTTCTTATAGAATTCCCAGGCAGCAATCGTTCCTGTACGTTTAAATTTTTTATATGCGTCACTTTTTGTTCGCATCATGAGTTTGATGATGACGTCAGTTACTCGAATCGCTTGAACGCGTTGGTTTTAACCGCGGTTTGTTGCAAGTTGTTTATTTTAGAAAAGCGCGTATATAATTTCTGATTATTTTTATTGTCACTTAATAATTGGTGCTTTTTTGTCCACAACGGAGTATGGAAAGTTAAAAAAAAGAAAAATTTCATAATTTTAATGGGAGGAATGTTTTTTTCAGAATAAAATTTTTACTGCTGGAACCATTGCTTTGTAGCTATGATAACTTTCAATTCTCTAAACTTTTCCGCATGTCAAAGAAAATATTTATTGATTTAGCAGAAATGATGAAAAAGCGATGAAAAAAAGATATTAACAAAACCGTACACAGGTGGACATCATCTACAGCATCCAGTGTGTTTATACGGCCATATTTTAATATTCTTGTGGTATATGGCTATTCAGGATACTTTGTTAAGCGTAGAAACTAGATTTAAAGTGTACCCAACAACAGTAATGATTATAAATAATAAGGTGCTCTCTTATGCTAAAACTGAAGTCAGCCTGTATCAAGTTTCCCAAAAATGAAGCTGAAGTACAATAAAAATATCCAATACCCGGCAAAATTCTAACTTGTCACAAGTCAAATAATAACCAGAAATATAAAACTACTCCCGAGTTGGGTAAATACCACAATTTTGCGGTGATAACTATGACATATAACAGCTGATTCATGACGTCACGGATCTTATAACCAAACTGATAACCACACTCGCTTGAACGGATCGGTAAATACCAATCCAAAATGGTAAATACCATTTCCATTTGGTTATCCGCTTGAATTTGATTAATGACCCCGGCAGCGATTTTTCTATCAAAGAACTGTTGAATAATAAGTTCCCAAGATAGAATAGAACCACGTCCACCTTCTGTTATTCTGGTTTTCACAGACTGACCTACAGTTCACAGTAGATACATAAGAACCCTTTAAGCGAATGTCACACGTTCAGTATCTACTGTGAACCGTTAGAATTTACCACGAACCGTGGTATTTATTGAACTCGGTTCGTCTGTTATGAGAAATTTTACAAATATGCAGTACAGATTCTATAACTTTTGCCCACATGATAGATTTGCCCCAAATACATCAATAGGTGTAGAACCTTTTCCATATATATACTGTGACGTTCAGCATCCGTTAGTGTTATTGGTTTTGTACGCTTGCAATCAGTCCAGGTACAAACGAGAAGGCATCAGCCCAGATGCATACTTGTGGTACAAGTATCAACGAAAATATGGTTCCTGTCCACACGGAGGCTATGGTCTCCGATTGGAACAATTTTGCTGTTGGCTAGTGAACAGATACCACATCAGACAGTTTGTCTCTATCCAAGATACCTGCATAACTGTAAACCATGAATTATAGTTGCAGTTTTCAACCACTGCATTTCTACGATCATTTTTTATTTGATTAATCCCATTTTATAATTCCATTTTGGTGTACATACACAAGTTATTAAATGTATATGAATGCTTTAAATAGGTTTTTTATTACACGGAGAAATCTGCTTTAGGACGCACCATTTTCCCTATTTTCCTTTTTATATGTCTCATCGACATTTCCACAGTGCCTATGTAGTTTAATGTTTGCCACTTTGGGTGCAAATAGAGGTCATATTTTCTAGCATTTCGTAGAAGCACGCCGGGATATGACTTTCATTCTCACATCAGACCAAACTTATCAGGACTATACAATATTCTTCATTCGTATCAGTAAAATGTACTAACAATAAGGTGGCAGAAACAATTATCAAAAAATAATTTTCTCACAAAAAACTATTATATTTTAATGATTCAGCTAGCCTGATGTGTGATGTGGAATATTTAGCCTCATATGAGAAGAATTTGAAGAGGTAAGTAAAATTCACTTTGCTCCCTCCATAAAATCGGTGGCAATTTCAGGAAGCTCGAAAACTTACAGCTATTTTCTAAGAGATTTAACTATTGGTTTTCTAGCAGATCACAAAAAATCGAAGTTTCACCAGTTGAATGTCTGTACACCTCATTTGATGCATAGCAGGGAATAAGGAAACTTCCAGGACGTCATATTAGGTTTGCTACAAAAACTAACAACGAATATTAAAAAATAGAAACTATTCTAATTATATTAGCAGAATGCAATTTGCTCAAATGTAAGGGGGATGAAGTAAAAAATATGCAACTGATGATAACATTTCTTAGAAGCTGTTGCAGCAGCTTCGTTAAATTAAAGATCTCATATGACTGTCACGCTAATGACAATAATCAAATTCAAGCGGATAACCAAATGGAAATGGTATTTACCATTTTGGGTTGGTATTTACCGATCCGTTCAAGCGAGCGTAGTTATCAGTTTGGTTATAAGATCCGTGACGTCATGAATCAGCTGTTATATGTCATAGTTATCACCGCAAAATTGTGGTATTTACCCAACTCAAGAGTAGTTTTATATTTCTGGTTATTATTTGAAATGTGACAAGTTAGAATTTTGCCGGGTATTGGATATTGTTATTGTACTTCATTATTGAGAAAAATGATACAGGTTGACTTCAGTTTTACCATAAAGTGGAGCACCTTATTAGTTATACTCATTATGGTTGTTGGGGACACTTTGAATGTAGTTCCAATGCTTAACAAAGTATCCTGTGTAGCCATATACCACAAGAATATTAAAATATGGCCATATAAACTCACTAGATGATATCCACCTGTATACGGTTTTGCTAATTTCTTTTTTCATCATTTCTGCTGAATCAATAAATGTTTTCTTTGACATGCGGAAAAATTTAGAGAATTGAAAGTTATCATAGCTACAAAGCCATGGTTCCATCATTAAAAAAAAATCTGAAAAAACATTTCTCCCATGAATATTATAGAAGGTTTCTTATTTAAACTTTCCATATACAGTTGTAGACGAAAAAGCACCGATTATTAAGTGATAATAAAAATAATCAGAGATTATATACGCGCTTTTCTAAAATAAACAACTTGCAACAAAACCGCGGTTAAAACCAACGCGTTCAAGCGATTCGTGTAACTGACGTCATCAACCCGTGTGTCATCTTGAACCATATTATAACCGCGGCACATAACACAGAAATTTTGGTTATTCGCGTGGATTTGATTAATGAGCTTGACATTGACAGCTGATATACCATATCAAATGAAATATGGCGGCGATGTTTTTTCCAGTCAAATTATCCAGTCACACACACGTTCCTGTCACAAGTTCTTTCTGTTTTCTGTGTATCTTCTGTGTATCTTGAGGTTATGGTGTGAATATTTCACGATTGCCTGCGTGACTTTATTGCAGTTGCATCATTTTAAAGAAAGTATTGATATTGATAAGATAAAAGATGTCTGGTGAAAACAACGCTCGTAAGTATAAACGTAAAATAATAACCCTAACAGATACTGAATCCCTTTACAAGGCAATATAAAATAAGCTGCGATAGATATTTTGTGCCATATTCTTAGCAGCACACTTTAGCCCCTTGAGTTTACCATTAATATGTCAACATATTGCTAGATAATGTGGTGATGACTTTAGCTCTTCAGCCGGCTTCTGTCTCTTTCTAACATATGTTGATACACACTTGCCCCATTAGACAAATTTTGTTTTTCCTGTATGTGGTACTTTTTAATCGCTAGATATTTCAAAAACTTTATTTGTATTTCATCCAGTCTTTCCATACTGACACTATGGGTCCCTGACATTCGAACAGTACTCTAGTTTAGAACGTACATAAAAAATTGACATTTCAATGCTGTTTCACTATTAACACGTTCGCTGCGACCTGCCTCGCGCCGCGCTCACGGTAGCGGCTAAACGATTTTAGGCGCTGCACAAGCGAAGCGCGGATTCGCGTCGTAAGCCTATTGGATGTGCGTTGTGTAATTGAAAATCATTTCATATAATATACATTTTCTTCTTCTATTTCGTTTTTTTTCGTGCAGTAACACGAAACATGTCTTGAAACCCTATTAAAGATTTTTCTTTAATTAATTTCAGACCAGACTATAAAATACAAAAACAAATATTCAGTAAAACAAGTTTATTATGGAAAAGAACAAAATAATGATATTCAAATAGAAGCTTAGAATAATAACAAAATAATGTGAAATAATGTGTGGGCTGGAAAAATCATCACTCGTTTCAGACATATTTCCATCAGACTGCTCACTTCCATCTGAACTGGGAACATAATTGTCTGAGTCACTTAGATTCTCGATTTCACTCCCCGAATTTGCAAGAATATCATACAGTTCTTTTTCTGTAAGCCCTTTATTACAGTTACAATACGTTTTCACTCGTTTTGGACGTGAACAACCTGCTTCCACATCATCCGCCATTGCGCAATGTAAAAATAAACGAAACTTGATCCCACGCGTAAAATAGTCCAAAAAGATGTTCAATATGTAGGCAACCAAACATAAAGCGAGTGCGGTACAAACTGACAACACCACAGTCTTGTGAGTTTATATCAGCCAGAAGTGCGGATCCGCGCCCGCCGCCTTTCGTTAAACATCGGTCGGACGCGGATCAGCGTCGTTCGCAGTGAACGTGTTAAATGACAATTTCTAACAATGAATCCATACATTTTGTATGCTGCAGGAATTTTGTTATAAGATGAACATTTAAACTGATTTGCGAATTGAATAATACTCAGATCTCTAATGGTTAAATGACATACCAAAAAAATGCCATCAATGCTGTAATCAAATATGATTTTTTATAGAGAAAGTGGCTACTTTACAAGTTGCAGCATTCAGGAATAATCTATTATTAGCACACCATAAGTGAACACTATTGTGTATGACCTGTAACTACCATAGTCTTCTATAGCAGTTATTTCACATTCCTTGAGGTCCTCAGCATAAAACAATTTTCGGGTTTCAATTACATTATCTAAACTATTAATGAAAATGAAACATATTATTAAATAGTAGTGGACCTAAGTTTGATCCTTATGGAACACTTGAATTTACACTAGTTGTGTTAGCATTGTACCCATTATAGTATATATACTGTGATCTATTGCATAAGTAAGATTTCCAAATTCTGTAAAATCTGCTGAAAAACTGAAAATACCAAGTTTTTTAAGAAGAATTTGCTTTTGACAAGTCAGTGTAGATTTCATCTAGTTGATCCAGGATTTCTTTTGTAAAAAGTGCCAGATTAGTTTTGATTGAACTCTTTCATATATCTGTGTTGCGACAGACTACTAGTATGAACTGCAGGGTATATGTCATTATACACAATGATTTCTATAAGCTTTGAAAAGTTTGAGAGAATGGATATGGTACAGTAATTATAGATAATATATTTATCACCTGTTTTACAAGTTTGGACAACAACAAAAAAAAAAGTATTGCAACCTGAGTACATTTATTCTTCATCTTTTTTGATGCATGGATGATTTTCATTTCAGTGATTTCATCATTAGATGTTATTAATTGAACTATGTGTAACTATGCCACTTGTTGCTTCAGAATCCATTGAATTTGTATAGACTTCATTGAATAGTTAGCAAATTGATCAATATCTTGTGAGTTTGAAAATATTTCCTCACCTTGAGTCATAGATATTCTGGTCAATTTGGATTTATGACATACATATGACCAAAATTGACGAGAATCAGAATTAATACCATTTTACACATTTTATATATTGCTGATTAGCTGTGTTGTCATGTTTAATCTGACTTCTCAACTTCTTGAACTGACCCAAAAAATAATCAGTTCTTTTATATTTGTTCAGAATATTATCTTTCCCAATTATGTTGGAATTGAACCATGATCAAAATTTGTGCTTGTAATTTTTGTTCTTGGGCACATGTATATCAAAGATAGTAGAGTATAATATGCCATAAACAAGATCAAGTGGTGCATTAACATCAGTACAGTGACATAATGATGACCAATCGGCACTCAATATGGCGTTGTAGAGTTCCAAATATGATCCTTACGAAAATTGTAAGCTATGCTATCTAGGTTAGAAGGGAAGATAATAGAGTTTTTCATATTTTCTTATATATAAAGAAGAGTGATGGTCATCCTCTGTGACAATAGGTACATTATGCTCTATTTGTCACAACTAGATCAAGTTATTATTTTTATTTAACACTAAGCTGGAATGACTCAGAGAAAAGAAATTTAGGTACCTGTTTATAGCAATTTTACCGTTATTTTGATATGGATGTGCATCAAGCCACATCATTGAAATCACCTACAAGTACAATGATGACAGGTTGATTGTTAATCTCAACATATATTACATAGTCCATATAAATTGAGCCTTTGAGAACAAATTCTAGCAATCTACACGTCTGACAGTCGTGGTGACGATGCTACTGGAGATGGCACTGAGGAAAAGCCCTTTAAGACTATCCTACAGGCTATGCGAAAGGCTGGCAGCGAGCCTTTCCCTGTCATCTATGTAGACAGCAAAGAAGAAGGGAAGAAATACGAGGTGGTTGCTAAAGCCCAACTCAAGAAACAGCAAAAAATCTGGGTAAGAGAGTGCTACAAGCTAGCTGATGGACAGAAAAGAGAAGATGAGGATACAGAGAAGCGCCTGAAAAACCTGGAGGAAGCTAAGCTAATTGTTATTGAGGAAGACAAGTCATTGTCAGAAGCAAAGAAAATCAAAATTCACGATGGTATGATTCTCAAAAAATATTCATAAAATTGTAATGACCTTTATGAGAACTTAATTAGTATATAAATAGATTTTCTCATATGTGACATTTTCATTCCTTGAAAGTAAATAAGCAATGTTTTATAATACTGCTTACATTATAACTTCTGGATGGCTATGGACTTCCATTAGGGAGGGGAGGCGAGTGAACTGGAGAAAATAAAGGATCAATTGTGCTAGCAAGACGAGTCTAAAGGCACCTGAAGCAGAAATCTCAAAGTTGAAGTTTCTATTTAAAATCGTCCACCATTTTGATTTTATAAAATTGTAGTACCCAGTGTTACTCCCGCTGTCAACATACATCTACTGGCACCTTGCATGCTAAAATCCATCAAGGTGATTATGGTGTAGCTCATGAAATATGAATTTCAGGGTTAATTTTTTTATTAAAATCTGCCATTTAAATTTAATAAAATTTTAGTATACCCAGTGTCACTCCCGCTATCAAGACAAATCTAGATATACCTCATATGTCAAAATCCAATCGAGTTTTTTTTTTCACTAAATTGAAGAGCATTCAGTTTTCATTCGCCGTCAGCACCTCCCAGCCCTTACCACCTCCCCCCCCTCCCCACGAGATGGTAATCTTGCAGAACATAAATTTTGGGACCACAATGTGCCTTCTTTGAATTTTGCTATATGCTGGATGGTATTGTATATTAATTATTTACATACTGTTCCAAAATACTACAAGTTACAGTTAGCTATGCTATTGAAACTTTACTTGTATCATGCACTTCTCTTTGTTGCAATTGTTCAATACCTACTTGTTTGTTTATATTGATCAATTAGTTGAATCAATAGCATATTTCCATTTTAGGACATAAGTTTAGAAACCAGAGAGTTAAAATATATGGTTGGGCTCATAGAATCAGAAGGCAAGGAAAACATTTGATGTTCATCACTTTGAGAGATGGTACAGGATTTTTACAAAGTGTGTTAAATGACAAACTTTGTCAGACTTACAATGCTGTATTACTACAAACAGAGTCGTCCATCATTTTATATGGAACCTTAAAAGAGTTGCCAGAGGGAAAGACAGTAAGTATAGTGTGTTTGTAATAAAGAGTATATATGTATATACAGTGTGTCCGCAAAGTTGGGGTTTTCCTTTACACGACGTGTAGATCTTGAAAACATAAGCAATTTTTCTTAGTACCATGTACACCAATGTCTTAAGGGAACCGAGATAAAGGGCTCTGCAACATCAAAAATATCTGAATACCGTCCTGCAGCCGCGACTTCCCCAAGTGGTACTAGGACACTAGCTCAACCCGACGACAGAACTGGGTCGGGCTCAGTGTGACAGGTCAGTATGCAACCTTCAACCGACCGACGGTTACGGTCACGCGTGTAGACTTAAACGAACCCGTATAAACGATTGCGTTTCAAAAAACAAAAAGCACTAGAGAAGTGCAAGTATCAAAAACTAAAGTGTGGCAAACGCTGCGTGAAGAGGGGTTGTATCCGTTTCACGTCCAACGTGTACAAGCCCTTCAACCTGACGATTTTCTAGCAAGAGTGCGGTTTTGTGAGTGGTTGTTGCATCAACATGACAATAATCCGGAGTTTTTGAAGTGCATATTGGTGACAGATGAACCTACGTTCACGCGTAATGGGGTGAATAACTTTCGCAACACTCATGTTTGGTCAGTAGAAAATCTGCACGCTGTCCGTCGGGCACATTTTCAACAAACATTTTCGGTGAATGTTTGGGCTGGCATGGTGAACGGTATGCTCATTGGACCATTTATTCTCCCAAATCGATTGGACGGGATGCAATACCTAGACTTTTTACGCAACATTTTGCCTTCCTTGTTTGCCTGCGTCTGCTCGGTAGCGCATCAGCTGATTTCATTTTCTGTTTTAGCGGTATGATTTCGGGCAGAGACGTACTTAGCCCTTCTCGTCAACTGGAGAGTGAGTACTTTTTCCTTTATTTTTTTTTACTTGGTCGCCCTCGTTTAACTATACATTACCTTTGTTATTTCAAGGGTAGTTGTTTCTGAAAAGGAAAACCCCAACTTTGCGGACACCCTGTATATACAGGAGCAGAAAATAGAATAGGTAACCCGAGCAATACGTATTTCTGCTGGTTGGCTTCATCAGGCCCGAAATGAGTGCACATATGTAACTACAAAAGTAGATACACATGCCCATACATCTGGATACGGCTGCAACCTGAAGAAACGAAGATGGAGAGGGAAAAATCACACAAGAAGTCCTCAACAAGAGCCAACCTATAACCGGCCGCGTGGTTGTGGTTAGACGTCGCCTTGAAAATTCGAGGTCTTCTTGCCATTTTATACTAAAATGTTTAGGTTGACTCTTGTTGTGGACTTCGTGTGTGATTTTTTATATCCTCTCCATCTTCGTTTCCTCAGGTTACACCCGTATCTGGATGTATGGGCATGTGTATCTACTTTTGTAGTTGCATATGTGCATTCACTTCGGGCCTGATGAAGCCAACCAGCAGAAATACGTATCGCTCGGGTTACCTATCCTATTTTCTGCTCGAATCGTCTTTCCTTCTTATTGCGGATTTTGCCCATTATTTTCCTATTTTTCGTTATATACCTTTCTCCGCATGATCATTTTCTCTTTGTAGATCCTTTGGGCTTGAAGTACCACAACAAGTGGCTACTTTTGTAGTTACATATGTGCATTCATTTCGGGCCTGATGAAGCCAACCAGCAGAAATACGTATCGCTCGGGTTACCTATCCTATTTTCTGCTCGAATCCTCTTTCCTGTTTTTAGCGGATTTTGTCCATTATTTTCCTATTTTTTGTTATATACCTTTCTCCGCATGATCAGTTTCTCTTTATATATATACATGCGAATATTTAAGGGTGTGAAACTACATGAAAAATTAATGTTAGTTTGCTTTATAAACTATGGTCCAAAAATGTTTCCTTACAAAAACTCTGGGTGTTGAAGTTTTAGGAAAAAATGGAAAAAACATCTTCAGATCCGCTTCACATATTTCACTGATGTGTACGTAGTGTAAGTTAATAAAGTTGCATATTTTTCAATTCAAAAATAATTTTTAGGTTTAACAGTGGCGTGCGTACGGGTATTGAGTTCGATATTTTTTAAGAAAAAAATGGTACGCCAATAGTTTTTTGACAAATAAACATTATTTTTGAATTTCCCGTTTAATTTAAAACAAATGATCTCTCTTGAATTGTTTTCGTTCCATGCGCCATTTTTTAGTAAAAAAATAAAAACCGTTCTATTGTCCGAGAAAATTAATGTAATAATTGAAGAATGCAATTTAGCAATGAATATCTAGTTGCTCTGGAATATGTCACTGGCTTTTGACATCTGACAAATTATTACAATGCAGAAATGGCGGAAATGAATTACGTATATGGCCTTGCCGACGGTAATGGTGAGCAAGCCAGACGGATTTTTCACCAGAGATATCACGATCGTGCTTTGCCAGATAGTCGAACCTTTCCTAATATTCATATTCGTCTTGTTGAAACTGGTTCTGTCCGAAAAGGAACATCTGAAGGTAGACCTCTAAGTGTGAGAACACCTGAAATTGAGGAAGCAATGCTGCACGAAGTCGAAGAACATCCTGAAACGAGTACGAGGAAGATCGCTAGACACTTAAATATTTGCCATCAAATTGTTTGGAGAATTTTAGTGGATTTTTTGTTATATCCTTACCATATTTCAAGAGTACGGGCATTACTTCCCATTGATTTTCGAATACGTGTGACTTTTTGCCAGTGGTATCTTCAAAAAATTACACAAAATCCGCAATTTGAATCAATGATTCTGTTCACGAACGAAGCTAATTTTTCTCAAAATGCCATTCAGAATTTCCACAATAGTCATTTGTGGGCGGAAGAAAGTCACTATGCCGTAACCGAAACCCATTTCCAACACCTATTTCCAAATATTCAAAAAATGTTGAGGCTTTCCATTTAAAAAATCACAACTTTGATATGTGGGTCAAAATTGGGACACCCTGTATAATTGCCAATATTTTAGAAATGTGCCCTCAAATATCATGTATAACATGCCATAAATAGATTTTCCCAAAATGTATTTGTTTATGAGTAATATTCCATCCACACATGGATGGGCCACCCTGTATATATATATATATACAGTAAAGAGGAGTACAAAGCCAAGCTCTGCATTATTTAAGCTAGTGATAGTGATATCAAGATTATACTTGTGATTTAAAAGGTTTTGTTATAAAAATTGATGTAGTTTTTCTAGATATTAACATACAACAAAAAAGTTGTGCAGCTCAGACAATTTTTTTCAACTAAAATGCCACAGATTAGTGTACTTACAGTAATTTCAGCAGTTTTGTTTTTTTACATATTTGAAAGTCTTGTTCTAAGTTAAAGATGAAGCCACATTTTGGCATTACATTCTTGGAACATTTGTTTTTGATATCTTTTTTATCACGAAAGAAGCACATTAGTAAGATAGTTAGAAGGTAATGAAGGTACTTGCTTGACAACCTAAATTAAAAAAAATGCCGAATTGAATGTGGCCACCAAGATCACTGAATTTGAATCCTATAAGTTTCTGAGTGCTTAAAGCTGCTTGATGCCGTGGCGGGAGCAGCACAGATTTGGGAAGGACTAAACCTAAATTAAAGGTTTCTGTTGTAGACAGTATTAACTATTTTTATTACCTACCAGAACCAACTATCAAAACAGAATGCCGATTTTAGGAATTATTGGATAATTTATGGTAACGTAAAACCGAATTTAACTGACATCATACCTCTTTCCACTTCCGAGATGACAATGTATATTATTAGGAGCTTTAGATCATTTTACTCATACTCATCGAATTATCAAGTTTTTTTCTGATTTTAACACAACACATCAAAATTGAGGTTACAACCTACAAGGAACAGAACCAAAAGGACTCAAAAGTTCGCTATTGTATCACTTTATTTCTATTATGTAACCCATTTTTAATAAACTGAACATGCAGCTTCTCGGAAAGTTGTGTTAAAAGCCGGGTTCAGTCAAAAAATTACGTTTGGGCCCTGTACGCTGCTAAACTTATACATAAATACATACATTGGTTGCAATAACATGGCGTTTGCATCACATTTCGATTCTGTGAAAGGCGCGTCGCTGGCGACTGAAAAAACGTCGAATGCGTACTCTTTAAATCCGAGTGGTACTTTCTAAGTTATAAATGGCTCAGGTATTCACAGACAGTGGTAGTCTTTCCGACGGAAATAAGTAACATGTTTTTTCTCATGTATGTACCATATAATGGCGCTTCTAGACGGGCAATATTTTTACTTCATTGTCGAGTGGCGCTTCTAAGGGGGAAATACTTTTAGTATGACCCGGCTACCTAAGCTAGACAGGTTTGACATTTCGGATATATTTTCGTATATTGCCGAACGATTGTAATACTACTTGTAACCCGTTCAGACAAGTGCATATGTCTACAAATTTGTCATGGATATGGCTAATATATCACAAAAATTTTGCTAATAGAAGAGTTATAGCCAAATCTTGCTACAAAAATATTGTTCATTTAGATGCTCCATAAGATCAAAGAAACACAATGTTTGTAAGTCTTCATTGTAATTTGAATGCATCTTGGTTTTGTAATTACATCATCATTCTCCCTTACTAATAAACCAATACAATTAAAGGCACCTGGAGGACATGAGTTAATTGTAGACTACTGGGAACTCATTGGTCTAGCACCACCAGGTGGTGCTGATGCCATTTTGAATGAACAAGCTCTCCCAGATGTTCAAGCTGAAAACCGACATATTATGATCAGAGGTGAAAATACATCAAAAATTCTGCGGATGCGTTCTGTACTTATGCAAGCTTTCAGGTAATAAGTGTTTCCTTCAAATATTCTAACCACTATAGTAAAACTGGGTGGGCCACTTGATTTTATGGAATATAAAATGTTTTCTGTTCTTGAAATGTTGTAGATTCGTCTTAAAATGAGTAACTTTCATATGATCCCACACTTGATTTTACTTAGATACAAATGAGAAATTCTTTTCATATTTCATGAAAATCAAATATACAAATATTAAAACAAGTACGAAGAGTAAGGCTTTGAAAGTATGTTGCTTTTTGACTAATTCTTTGTTAATTAATGAATGCAGGTACCCACAAAAAGTTAAGGAAGCAAATCCAATACGGTTTCCACTTGTATCCTGAATTCTTCTCAAATTCCTGCAACTTCTGAGAGTACTGTGAAATTAACATGTGTTTTGGCACTAAATATTATTTATGTTTCTAGAGACCATTATCTAGCACGAGGGTACTGTGAAATTACCCCACCATCAATTGTTCAAACCCAAGTAGAAGGTGGCGCAACTTTGTTTAAACTGGATTATTTTGGGTAAGAGTTTCATTCTGCTACCATATAATTACTGTACTGAGCTACTATACTGTTTATCTTCATTTTAGTGAAGAAGCTTATCTAACTCAAAGCTCTCAGTTGTACCTGGAAACATGCTTGCCATCAATGGGGGATGTATTTTGTATAGCAGAGAGCTTCAGAGCTGAACAAAGTAGAACTAGAAGACATCTAGCAGAGTAAGTAAAATCTGACAATACATGCAATGAATGAAACTTTTTTCATGGTTGTTTCAACACACTATAATTTGTTATGGCAACATATTAAACTATCTGAGATATCGCTAAAGAGATTTAACTGCCTCTTTAAGTATATTTTCTTAGTCAACACATGTTCCTGCTTATACTTCTAGATATACCCATGTCGAAGCCGAGTGCCCCTTTATCGGTTTTGAAGACCTGTTGGACCGTCTTGAAGATCTTATCTGCGATGTAGTTGATAGGGTTTTGAAATCACCATATGGTAGCATAGTTTATGAACTGAACCCAGATTTCAAGGTGCCAGAACGACCATTTATGCGAATGAACTATTCTGACGCTATTAAATATCTGAAAGAGAACAATATTACAAAGGAGGATGGGAGCTTCTACGAATTTGGTGAGGTGAGAAGATATAAAGCTGATGGAGGTTCATGGTTCGTTATGGTTGAGAAAATATATTTGTATTTTATTGATAAGACACAATGATTTGAATATAATGGTTTGACTTGGCGCGTACTCAGGACATTTGCAACTCAAAAAAATACACTGAAATTGGAGATAAAGTGGGACCTGGAAAATCGACTCATTAATTTCCTATTTTCAAATTAGACATATTCACAAGTACAGAACGTGTCAAGTCTTGGCGTGCACTAAAATGTTGACTTTTAAAATCCTTATATCCATAAAAAATTCTAAACTGCTTGATTTCTGCAGGTTGAGAAGTGACACTTGTCTTATTTAAAAAATTTGCTAGCTATGGTGTATGTAATTTCAAAAGACTTGTAAAATAAAAAGTTTTGTGGATACTTTATATCCGCGATTCTAAGCCTTTCAAATGCTTCTAAAAGCATTTTTAACGTGGGCAAAAAGATCCGAGAAATTATCTGAAGGTTCATATTTTTTAGGACATTCCAGAAATGCCAGAGAGAAAGATGACTGACCAAATCAATAAACCAATTATGTTGTGTAGGTTTCCAGCTAACATTAAGTCATTTTATATGAGCAAATGTCCAGAAGACAAACAATTAACTGAAAGTGTTGACGTCCTGTTGCCTAATGTGGGAGAGATTGTTGGAGGCTCTATGAGGATTTGGGATTTGGAGGAGTTGATGGAAGGGTGAGTTGGCTGGGGACTGAACAAATATACAGGAGGCCAGTACTCATATTACATAATTTAAAAAGTTACATATCGATTCTTTATGACATTATGTAGATTTTTCCGAAAAAATTTCACCTTGTAACAAGCTGTCATTCACTTCAATGTTCACTTGTAGTATCTGTACGTGATGCCTGCACGTCATGACACTTGACGTATATGGTTTGGCTCTGGTGTGAAGTGCACCTTACAATATCCTAGTCAATAGTTGAATAATGAAGTGTATTTTAGATTTGTAAAGCCAGTAATATCAGCCGTTGTTCATGCAAAGATACGTTAGCTGTCAGTTAGTTATAAAATGTGACAAGTTCATATTTATGTTTCTGGTGAAGATATGGTGAGGCTTACTAAATAAAGATAAGATATTTACTGAAGATGTTTATACAAAGCATCTGCTTGCACATGAGAAGGGTAGGTGAAATCTAAGGTATACAGAACCTTAGAGTCTGTCACTACAGGAGACTTGTTGAATGGCTCCCGCAAAGGGAAAAATAGTATGTGCAGGATACTCCTAGAAAATTATAGCAAATACATCATTTCTTGATAAAATTAATCTACAGATCCGACTTTTTTAGATCTGTATTTGACATGTTGCCTTTAACAACATTGTGTTATATCAGAGTTATGCAGCCTTTTATTTCACACGTACGGAGACAAAGGCCACCTCATAGAATAAAATAAAGCAGTCTTTGGGAGCGAAAAATGAGGAATGATTTCAGAGTTTGAAAATATACAGTACCTGTAGACACTTATTTTGGGTCCGTGTTTACATGGATATAAAAGTGCGGTTACGGAATTAGAATGAGCATTACTCGCGCTGTTCTCCAAATACCGCTTGAAATTCACAAATGGGCGATCGAAAGTGGAAAACTGCATTGGTGGTCAGTAGAAAAATATTTTTTATAAAAATAGCATATGTTAAATACGATGGATGCTTTTTTTGGTTTTGTAATAAAGATAACCTGATAGACTTGATGGTTTTCAATTTCTTACAATTTCCAAGAAAGTACCCATTACATCGTTCTATTTTGATGTAATTATTAGTTACACAAAAAGTGGAATGAGAAACTAACTCTAGAAGCTTAGAAGAAGCGATCAGCACCCGTATTAAAGTGGCATCGATTTTTCATGACATGTAGGTTTTTTGTCATTTTTCCTATAAAATGTCACCTTTGAACTAGCTGACATTCACTTCGTGCTCACTTGTAGTAGGCACAGAATCAACTAGCGGCTACCTAATGCACAAGTTGATATTTTACCGATATTTTGACAGTATATAGCAGGATTTGTACGCAATAACCCATCTGCTGTGTACAATGTATAAGATAAACCATAAATGTATGATGAGGGATATGGAGCTTGACCATAGAAGCCAGAAGGTGCGCAGAAAATTGAACGACTTTTAGAAATAAAAACATGTAATGTTTGAGCTCAAAACTCTATATACGAGTATTACCATTGTAACGTCGTTGATGACTGACAACATTAATGCTTTTTGACAAAGTCCTGGTATAATTTTTTATTATGATCAATTAGTATGTCCAGCAAAATAATAGACGCACCCGTAGGAGGCGACTACTTAGTACGCAAGTTGACATTATACCGATTTTTAATGAGACCGATTTTTTACGTACAAATAGTGTTCGACTCGTATGTTTTGACAGTAACTTAGGTCTAATCAGAACAACTGGACAAGCTGATAGTTAAGACAGCGATTTGCATATCAAATAACTGAAATATTAATTTCGTAAGTTAGTAACAGAACCACGTCCATTTTCTATCCTGGTTTTCAAGAATCGACCTCTAATTCACAGTTGGATACATTATGGGATCGTCTTAGGCGAATGTCACACGTTCAATGCTTATTTACTGTGATCTGTCAGTATTAACCATGAAACGTGGTATTCATTGAACGCGTTCCCTAGCGGATGTCTGTATATGTGGATATATAAGGTTAGGTAGAAATTCGTTGACACTGAATGATCAGTAAATACTGATTACCTTACGCAACAGCTTCTCAAACTTGGTCCATCTGTATGAGAGATTAATCAAATTTAATATACAGTACAGGTCTATAACTTTTGTGTGCATTAGATGTTTACCCCAAAAATATGACAGTAGAACCATCTCCGTGTTCAGTATCGTATCGTGATATTGATTTTGTATGCTTGCAATCATTCCAGGTACAAACGAGAAGGCATCAGCCCTGATCCATACTTCTGGTACACTGATCAACGAAAATATGGTACCTGCCCACACGGAGGCTATGGGCTCGGATTGGAACGATTTTGTTGTTGGCTACTGAACAGATACCACATCAGGGAAGTTTGTCTCTATCCAAGATATCTGCACCACTGTAAACCATGAATTACAGTTTTCAACCTCTGCATTTCTACGAGCATTTTTATTTGATTAATTCTGATTTATAATTACATTTTGGTTTATACGTAACGTAATTAAATGTATATGAATGCCTGGAATCCGTTCTTTATTACACGTGGCAGAAATCTGCTTTAGGGCATCATTTTCCCTATTTTTCTATAGTGCCTAAGAAGTTTTCCATTTTTGGGTGCCAGATAAGACTAACTATGCAAATATGGATCACATTTTCTACCTTTTCGTCCAAGCGCGACGAGATAAATAAACTCTGACACACTCGGAAGTGTTATAAATCCGACAGAAATGATACAAATCGATCAGGATCGCAGAAAGGCGAGACGGGATGGGAAAATTGCTCTGGTTCTGTTAGAGGATTTGCGGCAGATTCAAACATCTCGTAGAATGTTTTGAGTAACTAAACCATTCTGATCGCTTGTTTCCACACGCTGAAATTGTCAGGTATATGTTAGCAGGATCGCAGAAACGGAAGGAGGTATGGAAAATTTGATTACAGTATCGTATATATGCACGAACACATTCAGATATACGGTGAGATTCAAATTTGGCTGACGTAATGCGTACGAGAGATAAGCGTGCGACATGTATGTTTGAAAGAGATTGTTGTGGCCGACTTGTTTTACTTTGTAGTTTTTTAGACGTGGCAATAATGTAAGTTGAGTATTCAGCATTCGCATATCTAACCGCCGACGTTTATGTACGTGCTCTGGGAAAAAATACAAAGCTTGTGAACAAAATCGTGTATTAAACCCCAAAACCTCAAACAAAAACCAAACAGAGATATAAGCACCTCGTTGCCTAGCAACCCGACTACAAGGTCACGGAAACCATCGGCACACTCTTTCTAATACCGGATTTACGTGCAGTCACTCGCGCTGCCCACTGTCCTGCCGTAAATAATTCCACGGCAACATTTGGAGCAAGTGACCGTTTACATGCAGCCACCCTACTAACCTACGATAAACTGCTCCCAAAAAACTTTCCATTGCATCAAATCCAAACCCAATGCTAAAACATCTCATCTGCACCCGCTCTATATATACCATATCGAAGCGTTTTTCTTTTTTAATAGCGGCCGAAATGTTGCCATTAGCGATTTTTTTTTGACTTAAGCTCTTGTATTGGGTAATTGTTTAATCCTTCGCTTATCTGTGTCCACGCATCATGTACTTTGTTTTTTTTTTTTTTTTTTTTGGTGATCATTATGTGATCTTTCAGCCGCATATATCTCTAGAAACATCTATACTTGATCACTGCTCCACTCAATCGTGGTCCAAGTGTACTTTAAAACGAATAATTTGCCAAAAAGGAATCAATTAGGTTAAGATACCCTGCGTCCAAATGGTAAGGACACGACTCATTGTTGGTACAGCGGGCAGCATGTAAACGGTCGCTGCCACTCGTGCTGCTGGTCCTTGGACTTCCGTCCAAAAAACCGCGAACGAAGGGAGCATGCGACAGGGGCATGAGCATTGGCAATGCGAGCTGCCGTATTTACATACTCGGGCTGCCCAATTCTCTAGAAGTGGGCTGCATGTAAACCCGGTATAACATACATATCGCGCTTCTCTCTCGTATACGTTACGATGTCGGTGGTATTTGGTTTTCAGTGTATACAGACGGAACCATTTGAACAAATTCAGATTTTTTCATTCATCCTCACTAAGGGTCCCAAAGCAACATGTCATCCCTGATCAGAAAAAATGAAGCAAACACTTCTTTTTGCTTTATCAAATTATATTTAATTGAAATGTGGTAAAGTGACTACACTAAAGTTCTAACACCCCTCTACAAGTTAAAGATTTCAGCAATTAAAACATAATTTTTCTATGTAGAGAATGCCTCAGGGGCAGCATATTTAAAATACTCGCAAAATTACCATACCCTAGTTCTACGGCCTTAAGCTATGAGTATGACCTGCATTCTTACATCAAACCAAGCTTCTCAGGACTAAAGTTCCTCATTCATATCGGTAGAAATTTAGTAACAAAAGATTGCAGAAACAAGTATCAAAAAATACTTTTCTCACAAAACTATTATACTTTATTTTTTTACGTCGAAGCAGCCGCACAGGCAGAAGCCTAAATACGACTGTACCGCGGCTGCTATGAGTAACAGACACTCCGTTAATCCGACTTTTGACCTACACCTAAGATTAGCATAACTGAGAAAAGCCTCATGTAGATTGTTCCACAATCTCGATAGGTACCCTATGGTCAAAGGAGCTGTCGTATCGGTCGGTTCTGGATGTACCAAATTTGACACGGTTTGCATGGGAGGCCGAAATTAGGCGGTTTTGTCTGGCAAATACATCGCGCGGCGGCATAATGGAGGAGAGTTCTGAGGAGCAAAGCCCGTTGGCGTAACGGTAGAAGAGAGCTAGGTCGACAGCCTGCCGGTGCGAAAGGGTACTGAGACTGTCCGTTAGAGAAGAGTCATCCACCACTCGGACATCCCTCCTTTGATCAGCATCGAGCATGGATAATGTAGTCGGTTCGGCAGCACCCCAAATATGTGAGCAGGACTCCCGGTTAGGTCTTTTCTGGGCCTTGTACACAGTGAGGAGGTCATGTGGAGAAAATCACCTTAGCAGCTGCTGCTATTGACGGGATGTGTTCATGCGAGATCAAGACCTCGGTGGTCTGAACTCTGACCAGCCCAAATAAACAGCTCTTTGGTAGAACTGGGCCATCCATCGAAACGGAATGAGCGCTAGGACGCTTCTTGTTAGTCAAGGTACATTACTGTGTTTTGGAAGTATAAAATCCTGGCATCCCCAAGCAGTGATAAGCTCCAGGTTTCTCGTCAGAGAGGAATTCGCTGCTAGTCTTCATTTCTCCAACTCACCGGCAGAAATAGGCTTGTCACTCCGAATTCCTGGATGTAGAGTGCCGTTATCACCAATGTTGTGGATCGGATCCCTGGGGACACCCGCGTTGACGTTATGGGATAAGGAGGAGAACCCGTCAGTTGCCACGGATACCTTGCAGCCACCCATCTGCAAAGCTTTTCTTGAAGGCCATAGTATTGAAGTTTACAAAAGACATCATGCCACATCTGATCGAACACTTTCGTGATATCAACAGCAACAACATGAGCCTCACCATAAGAGTGGATGACTTTACTCCACAGTTGCGTAACGTAAACCATAGTTCCTTATTTAACCTCTTCAAGGACAAATTTATTTGAAAAAAAATAAAAAGCTGCTAATAAACTAACATATTTTCTGATACAAAAAAATATTTATATAAAAAAATACAAAAAACTAAATGTACACATATGTATGTGTCCACTGGGCGAAAGTGTTAACGGTGGAATTCTTCCATACATTCTGGACAAACCGGCTCATTATATTTTTTGCAGGCATATCTTGTTCTTTTTTTACAATGTTTGTCATGACATCTCGGAGGGTTTTTATATTCTTTTTTCGTAGAATAGTGCCCTATGTTATCCGTTCTAATTTCGACTGCTGTTTTCATCCAGGCCTTTTTTTTAGATGGTATCGAAGTTTCTGCTTGGGAAGATGGCCTTCCACGCTTTTTGCCAACTTGATTCACTTGAATTAGGGTAGCTGCAACAGACGCTTTGAAATCCAGAAGTGACATTTTTGTATTTTTCTTCTCCTTGAATAAAAGCCATGCATTTACTGTTGCAAGATTTAAAAAGTCATAAACAATCCTCACGTAATATTTTTTACATTTTACGCCATATGGATAATAGCCAACCATTCTATCTGTCATATCGACTCCATCCATAAACCTGTTGTACTGGATTATACACTGAGGCCTTGATACCTCAACATGCTTTTTGGTTTTTCTCTCCCACATTTTAGCTTTATCTTGCGGTTCCTGTCCACAGACAGTCGAAATCATATGCACAATTTTATTATCTACCCAGCGAATTACAGAAATGTTATCTGAAGAAGTTGCTACAGAGGATGACTCTACCAGTTTTTAGAAGCACCTTAGTATCCACGAGCTTTTCATCGGCACCTTGAAGTCTGTTAGTTCGGATTGTCCCTACGACATTTATGTCTTTATTTTTTAGGCTGTATAAGGTAGAAATTGAAGTGAAAAGATTATATATAAATATTTTGTGATTTTCCCTTCTATATCCTGGCAGAGTCTCATAACTGTATCCCCAATTACTCCTAAGTTTGAGACAGTTGATTTGTCAGCGGCCTAATACATTTCAAACTTTGAAACATAATCATTGGGAGAATCTCCTACCAATACCTTGAAACCCCATTTCTTAGATTTGGACTTGATGTACTGCTTCATTCTATGCCTACCTTTGAAGGGTATAATCATTTCATCAATTGACATAAACTCGGTGGTTCGGCAGCCTCAGCAAAAGATGTAGATAACTTATCAAGCAAGGGGCTTTTTTTATAAATGAATCTTTATTATCATTGGGAATATTCAAATTGTTAGTAAAGTGTAAATATCTTTTGATTTCCTCATATCTCTTCAGTGACATTGCCTCTGCGATAATATCAAATAGTAAACCAGGAGTTGATGACCAATACATCCGGTAAGCTGGATATTTTATATACATCATTATATTTATGGCAAAAAATTGTTTTATTTCACCTACGGGTACAGAAAGGTTATCTTTTCCTGATTGAATAGCATATAGATTAGTTTCACATGCGATCATTTGAAAAATATCTTCCGTAAATAGTCTGATAAAAAAAGAACGAGGTGTGTCGCCATCTATATTTATCTTATTTTGCCCTAAAAATGGTGGTGGATCATTGGATGCATAAGCATTATCTTTTTCTTGAAACCATATTCGTTGCTGATTTGCACACCTCATTAGAGTATTCGGACCTGCCATATGAACTAGTTGTATATCCTCGTCATCACTCGACTGTTCAGAATCACTGCTAAGATCTTCTAACGAATTTCTTGTTACAAATGCATTGTATCCTGATTGTGAATCAACGTCTGAATCCTGATCAGTTATTTCTAAGTCTTCTATATCGGAGCTATTTGGATTTCTAATTATATTTACAACATGTATTGGATCAGTCTTCTTTTAATTATAAAAATTGCAGGTTGGTATTGCTTTTGTCGAGAAATCGTCCTGAAACAAAAATCTAATTTGAATCCAACCCAAACTGAAGCTTTCCATAAATATGGTTACATATCTGCTCAAAGTACACTAATGTGAACAGATTCGGTTCAAAAAAAAAATGTTTTGCCAATAAATCAAAACTACAACCGCTCATTGCACACGAATGTGTATGTTTACTTATACTCAAAACATCGAACATTTTTTAAAATTGTTACAAACCAAAGTCAACATACCGCAAAAAGATACAAAAATGAATGTTACTTACCATTTTTTAGAATGAAAAAGTGCTCACTTAGAAGAAAAAACAGCACCAAACTATCAACTCGTCGGTACATTTCCATAACCAAACATAAACACATTCACAGAAGGGTTTATCTCTGCACATGTAAAACCGTAAATGTAACACCTAGCCCCATCTATGCATAGCATATTAAAATAAATGTATCTGGACACATTTATGGCCAGTGGGCGGATTGGTATTCTAATAAATAATATCTCGAATTTAGTAAGGTGTACAAATATGTGCCAACGTCCTTGAAGAGGTTAACTAAGAGCAAAGGTCCACCGGACCGCTCTGACGAATAGTACCATAGTTCCTGTCGCTAATCAAGCGGTGGTGTACGAAGTACTCCAGAAGCTCACGATTTATGCACATCTCTATCACATTACTTATATCAGAAAGCATAGCTATGGGCTTGTAGGTGTTAAGATATTTTTTGGGATAGACTGGACATGACCAAATTTGCAATTTTATCTGGAAGAGACGCAAAAGCTCCGCTGCACATCTCTTCGGTACAATGGCAGGAATCAAGACCGGACCAGAAGCTTTCTTGATGCCAAACGACAGGAGCACCCGTATTATGCCTCAAATGTTACTTCCCGCATAGTGTATAGTGAATCAACGGCACTCGGGCGTTTTTTTTTTTCTGGACATTCATACTGGGGTTGCCAGTGAAGATCTTGGCAAGCACTTCCGCCTGATGATTATTTGGCCTCGTATTAGGCAATTTCACATGCACTCTTTCAAAATCCATAGGAAAGAAATTTGCGAAGAAAATCGAAATGATGTGAAGAGGTATGAAAAATTCACTTTGCTTCCGCTATAGAATCGGTGGCAATATCAGGTCTCTCGAAAATGTACAGCTATTTTATTATACTTACGCGCAAGGTATGAGGAAACTTCTGGGACTTAAATTATGATGGCTACAAAAACTAATATAATATGAAATCTGAACATTAAAGAGTAGAGAACGTTCTAATTTTATTAACTGCTCAGTTCAAAAGAATGCAATCTATTCAAATCTAAAGGGAAGGAAGAAAAAATATGCAACTGATCACAAGAACATTTATTTCTTGGTAGCTGTCGCAGCAGCAGTAGCTTCATCTTCACGCTGGTAACTCTGCAACACCTCCTGCTTCTTGGTAGCAATACGCTCCTCTCTCCTTTCCCTAGCCTGCTTAACCTTCAATCTCCTTGCGTTGGCCTGGTCCTGCAACATCTTTGCTCTTGCTTTCTCAGCCTTTTTCTTGTGGATGTATTCCATCAACACTCGCTTGTTCTTGAACACATTACCCTTAGCCTTCATATACAAAGCATGGTACAGATGCCTGTCAATCTTCTTCGCTTCGCGGTATTTCTTTAATAATCGTCTGAGGACACGCATGCGTTGGGTCCATAGTTCCTGAAAAATTATGGTATCAAGTAGATTAGCTCAGAGAAATGGGCCGTTCACAAAACAATAGTTTGCAAATAGGCTTGTCAAAAAGTCTTCGGTATTTTTTGATAATAGCACAAACACCGTTTGTAAACTTTAAATAACAGAAATATTTACTCCAGTTTTCAAATCCCAAGAAATTTACTATTTTGATGACGCCATTATTATATTTGGTGCAGTCAAGTTACCAACGCGTCAACCAAAGATCTAGTTTGTGTGCCTGGGTTAGCGTGTTCTGCGGATGAAGTTTCCTGTTAGCATGACAGCCACAGGATAAATGCATACCCAGAGGTACGTTCACGATCGACATCGGGCGTATGCTGGGCGCTTTGATTAAGCGTTCACGGTTGCTTTGGGTAAAACTTATGTTTTGGTATACATTTTGACTGCTGTTTGACGCAGCGGAAACTAGTGCAGTAGCAGGGGATATCACATACAGGGAAAACCAAATTTGTCTGAAGGCTGGGTTCAATATGTACGAGAGAGAAGCGTGTATCAAAACATTTTAGAAAGAGATAGAAGTCGGCTGAAGAGCGAAGGTCATGACCACATTGCCGAGCGACGGTGCCGCGTTGCCAATATGTTACACCAGAAAATATTCGCACAGGCTTCTACAATAGGTTAGGATGCTGCCAAATCCAAGAAGGAGGTCTGTTAGAACATTCAATTTAATGTTTTGTTTTCATTTTGATTAGAACTATTTATTTGTTTCAATTTTGATGCAACTTAGTGTTTTCCACCGCTGTCCAAAATTCAACAAACAACGTCACGCAATACAAATTATCACTGCCTGCGTGTACGCAGGTGAAAGCCGTTTCGAAGCAGGACGACACTCCCCTACGAGCGCTAGTTGGGTACTGACCAAAATCGCTCAACTATGATCATGGAGGTGAAAACCTTGCACTTGAAATGCCCAAGATGCGGTGTTGTCAAATGAACCCATGATGCAATTTTGCAGAATTTGTGGCGATCCTGAACTTTCATTTCGACCTAAAATGGAGTGCCGTTAGGACCGATCCGGAATCGATCCTAAACAGATTCGACACAATTCAAAAATGTGTACGCTCAAAATAAAAAATAAAATTTTGTGCGTAAAGTATAAACTAACGCATATTTTTAATTATTATTAGCGCTACAACAGTGGCCGGAAAAGTCCGATGACACTGTTGTGTAGAGTCTTTTTTATGCTCGATAATGCACGAAACATGGTGGTGTCTTTTAGTTCTTTATCCAGGTTATTCTTGAATAAATTGACAGTTGTTGCACCCACTGTTTCTTCACTATCAGAGTTCCATGAGTATATCACTAGATTTGAAATTAATGTTCTCTCTTTTTATAATTTTGTGGCATTGCCTCGGAGATAAAGATTCTGACTCAAATTGAATATTTGAAGGGTTCATGAATAGCAGCCACTGATTATCTCGAATGTCTCAATCCCTTAGACGTTGTTCATATGGCAAATGTCGAATCTCTGTTGGAATTCACGTTATTTTACATTGCAATCTTTCAAGTATTCTGATGTATTTGATGAAATAGGAACACCATATGCAGTGTGCATGTTTAAGTAAAGAATGGACAGCATATATAGCTTATCTACCACAGCAGGAGAATAGTTTTTAACAGGTTTTTCAATCTAATATATCAGTGAGTTGACTTTTTTTATTTTATTGGTAATGTGAGCTTCCCATTTTGAGTTATGTGCTATTATAAGGTCTTTCTGGTACTGTACATTTTCAATTTCTACCTGCCGTATACTGTACTTTATATAAGGATTTGTTTTCCCAATATAAACAATCGTCCACTTTTCTCCATTGAGTGGCATTTGCAATTTCTTAGACCACTCCTCGATATCGCGTATGTCCTTTTTAATCTCGACCTCTTGTAATGCCGGGTTTCCGAATAGTTTGCTATCATCTTCATAGAATGAAATGTTTGTTTTTATACCCATTGTTACATCTGACGTGTAAACAAGGAATAGAAGAAGTCCATGTACAGAGCCTTGTGGAACACCTCTCAACACTGGGTGTGGGTCACTTTGCTCTTGGAAGATTCTGTCCATAAGAAATGCTTCTATCCAACCTAAAAGCTTACCTCAACACCAAAATGCTCAAATTTGTAAATCAAATGTTTATGCGGAACTTTATCGAAAGCTTTTTCATAATCAAGATATATTATATCTATGGGATTTCATTTGTCACCCATTGTTGTCAAACAGAGAGCAAGTTGGTAATCACAGATTTTTCAGGTAAGAAGCCATACTGTTTCTGGTATGACGTTATTTTGAAGTAAAACTATTTTGAAGCCTACTGCATGAGACAACATAAATAGTGTACATTTTAGTATCAATTTTCGTATTTTAGAATACTTTTAACACCCAATTTTTAAGTTTTATGACTTATTTAATGTATGAAGGACGTTAATTTAATAAAATCTTGAAAATTAGTATAACTCGAAAACAACTAATTTTCGGACAGTAATTCCGATAGTAACATCGACTCAGATCAGCCTGTACTATCTCCCTACTGGCTCCACATCTATTTTCTTGTCACTGTGTATATCATTGGATATATATCCTCAGAATCCTGAAATAGTCTGAACACTTAACAAAAATTTCTGTGTTATTTACCGCGGTTATAAGGTGGTTTAAGATGACACACGACTTGATGACGTCAGTTACTCGAATCGCTTGAACGCTTTAGTTTTTACCGCGGTTTTGTCGCAAGTTATTTATTTTAGAAATGCGAGTATATAATTTCTGATTATTTTTATTATCACTTAATAATCGGTGCTTTTTCGTCTACGACAGTGCATGGAAAGTTTAAAAAAGAAACCTTTCATAATATTAATGGGATAAATGTTTTTTTTTTTCAGAAATTAATTTTGAATGATAGAACTATGGCTTTGTAGCTATGATAACTTTCGATTCTCTCTTTTCCGTATGTTAAAGAAAACATTTATTGAGTTAGCAGAAATGATAGGAAAAAGCGATGAAAAAAGATATTTGCAAAACTGTATACAGGTGGACATTATCCAGTGAATTTATATGGCCATATTTTAATATTCTTATGGTATATGCCTACACAGGATACTTTGTTAAGCATAGGAACTAGATTTAGAGTGTCCCCAACAACAGTGATGAGTATAACTAATAAGGTGCTTTACTATAGTCTAATCACATTATGAGGAGACGAAAATACCCCTGCTTTGAGAAATAATTGTCAAGTCTGGTTTTATTGATGCAAGTTGTTCAAGGGGGTATTTTAAACATGTACGCATAAAATGGGTACACCAATTTTTGTGGGAAAACTTTTTATTTGACAACAAATGATGAGAACATGTTAGCAGGAACGAAAAAACTCTACAAATAAGATTTTTAGGTATTTATGAGACCACACGTAAAAAGATCCGTCTGATAATAAAGAAGTTATGACCGAAAAACGAGGCAAAATGCAGGTTTTGGCACTTGCTGCTAATGCGACGATAATTCCACGCAGCTACTTGAAATTCTGTATATCCGTAGGCTTCATACTTTTGAGTAACCACAACAAAATTGGAGTCGATCGGTCAAATAGTCTTTGAAAATTTCTAATTGTTTATCCCAAAACACCTGTCTTCAGGCCATCACTACTAGTTTACTGATCAATATTACAGAGTTCGTTCAAAGGGCATTTTACAGCAAAATACACAAGTTTACCTTGCCGACATAAATCACAAACCATTCCGAAAGATAATTGATGTTTTTATGAGAAAAACGAAGGGTTACCTTTTTTCTTCTAAACAAATTCAAACATTTCGTATTTGTGACTAATAATACTCGAAAAACATAGGTTATTATACACATTTTAAGACAAAGCGGTTGTGTCCATCATCTTTTGTTGCGAAGAAAACGATTTTTTTCAAGATTTTTTCATACTCTTCTGTATACATATTCAGAGCTGCAATTCTTACACGACCCCCTTAAGGTTTATACAAATATATATTTGAAACCTAAATGCGCTGAACTGTTTATAAAGTTAGCACGCAAAATGAAGGCACAATTATGTTTCAAACTGTCTTAGGGCCGTATCGTCAGTCGTTCCTACAATTGTAGGACGCCTTAATGGCCTCCTTAAAAAATTTCTAGATTGCACCTGTTCTATATCAGCGTCAGCGCTCTCTTATTGTGAAGATATGTATGTTGTCTTTTTAAATTGTAGGAAATTTCTGGCTGATAGAACATGATACAAATCAAAAACATGCACAATTTGATGCAAATAGATATTTGTGACATAACCTCAGAATAGAGCGCTGACACGGACAAGTAGAAAACTATGACAATCAAGGAGGCCATAAAGGCGTCCTACAATTGCAGGAACGACTGACGATACGGGCCTTAGACTACTTAGTATGTAGCATGTGCTAAATGGCTGCATATTGATCACTACATGACTTTGTGAAATAAGTAGGTCACATAATCCAGTTTCTTTATGAAGAAATATGATTCGCTGGACCTTTTTTCTAAATGTTTTAGTATAGTATACGTCTGTTTTCGAAATCTCGTAAGATTAAAACGACTGCGAGTTCAAAACAATGGAAAATAAACTCGAGAAAACGAAAAAACAGTAGACAAAGATTAACCAATTGGGAAAAATGCTCGGTATTAGACCCTAATACATTATTTAAAGTTATAGCATTGTATCTTGCATAGTTTTCAAGAGTATTCTAATTGTTTATAATATATTTGATATGCCTTTAACATTTGCTTGACATTTGTCAGTGTCAAGTGTAGTGGTATAAGAATCCAGTAAGCTAAGAGGCGTCGTAGCGTAATGGGAGAGAGCGGTGCTTTCTGAACTGCAGGACAGAGGTTCAAATCCCCAAAGCTCCTTTTTTTTCATAACAATTTTTTTTAAATTTGGAGAAATAAATGTTTTTTCACATTATGTGTACTTTTATTGCGATCAAACAGTTATTCGCACGCCATAGAGAATGTAAGCTTGCAAACAGTAAACCAGCAGTATACATATTGTAATTTTTTTTATATTACTTTGATGAAATTTCAGAAACACTATGTCGGATCATAGCAGATAATTTTTGCCTAATTTTGAAGATGGTCAGTTCGCTACAATTGCCTTATATTTGTCTACTGTTTTTTCGTTTTCTCAGGTTTATTTTCCAATATTTTGAACTCGCAGTCGTTTTAATCGTACGAGATTTCGAAAACAGACGTATACTATATAAAGACTTTTAGAAAAAATGTCAAGGGAATTATATTTCTTCATAAAGAAACTGGATTATGTGACGTACTTATTTGACAAAGTCATGCAGTCACCAATAGTGCAGCCATTTAGCACATGCTACATACTAACTAGTCTAAGACAGTTTGAAACATAATTGTGTCTTCATTTTGCCTCCTAACTTTATAAACAGGCTCGCGCATTTCAGTATGAAATATTTTTTTTTATTAGCTTTAGGGCTCATCTGTGACCATGTAAAAATGTCAGGTCTAAATATGTATACACAAGAGTATAAAGAAATCTAAAAAAATTTTTTTTTTCTTTGTAACAAAAGGTGATGGACACATCCGCTTTGTTTTAAAATTTGTATAATAACATATGTTTTTCGAATATCGTAGCGAATCTGTTCGATTACTCGCATATTCGAAATGTTTGAATATGTTTAGAAGAGAAAACGTAACCCTTCGTTTTGCGCGTAAAAACAATTATATTTCGGAATGGTTTAGGATTTATGTCGGTAAGGTAAATTCGTGTATTTTGCTATAAAATGCCCTTTGAACAAACCCTGTATATTGCTCTGTAAACTAGTACTAATGGGCGGAAGACAGGTGTTTTGGGATAAACAATTAGAAATTCTCAAGGACTACTTGACCAATGGACTGTAATTTTGTTGTGGTTTGTTAGAAGTATGAAGCCTACGGATTTGAAGAATTTCAAGCAGCTGCATGAAATTATCGTCGCATTAGCAGCAAGTGCCAAAACCTGCATTTTGCCTCAGTTTTCAGCCATCACTTTTTTACTATTAGTCGGATCATTTTATGTGTAGTCTCATTCCATAGGTCTCATCAATACCTAAAAATCTTATCTGAAGCGTTTTTTGGTTCCTGCTAACACTTTCGATTGAATCCCAAAAAACGGTGTAACCATTTTAGGCATCCATGTTTTAAATACCCCTTTGAACAACTTGCATCAATAAAACCAAACTTTACAATTATTTCGGGGAAATTTGCTAATATGATTAGACTATTATGCTACAACTAAAGTCAGCCTGTATCAAATCCAATCCAAAATGGTAAATACCATTTCCATTTGGTTATTCGCTTGAATTTGATTAATGATAAAAATGATATTAGCTAAGATGTTATTTTTCCATGTGAAGTCATGTTTACCTTTTGGGGCATACGGGCATTTGCAGTACCCTTCCTTTTACCAAATCCACAGTGTCGGCCTTTCCTACGGGCCTCAGTGTTCTTGCGCACACGAGCGCGAGAATGAACTGCTACAGGCTTCTTAATTATCAACCCATCCTTAATAAGCTTACGGATGTTTTGCCCTAAAGAAAGATTACTTTATTCTTACATTCAAGATTGTTTTGGTTCATGAAACTTACTCGAGTTTGTGTTGGCGATCTCATTGACTTCATTTGGATCTAGCCAGACCTTTTTTTTGCCACATCGCATAACCGAGGCTGCGAGCCTCTTTTGGAGTTTTAGGGAACTGAAAAATAGGAAAAAACGGATTTTAATGAATATGCAAGGTTAGGTTATTGAAACAAAACAGGTAATGCTGTGAAATAGCGCAAAAAATAGATAGATATATGTGTACATTCAAATTACAAACAAAACGCTGATTGATCTAGTCATTTAGTCAAATTTCATAGATTTCCTACCTCATATTCCACTATTTTCCGAAAAACGTGCTTCTTGGACTGTTTTTGAATTAGAAAGAGATAGAGAATGTGGATAGAGATTAGAGAATCACAAAACATATACACTGACAGAGAACCACAAACGAGAACAAACGGTGAGCACAAAGCAGAAGCGAAAAGATGCTGTCAACTTGTCAAGTCCACAAAACGAATATATACGTCATATATGTCATCACGCGCGTCACTAGACCATCATACGTCATACGTCAGTGTATGTAGGATATTCTTTAATTCACCGGTTGGACAACCGGCTTACCGCTTAGCCAATTTTGCGTCCTCTAATTTCCGCTGGAACGACCGGTTGTACATCAAACTTGTCTTTATATTGATGGTCGATATACCACCGGTGCCGACAGCATCCACCGACGTTCCGTCTCGGTTGATCCACGATATCTAACCTCTACATTGTATCATTTCTTGACAACTACAGATTTGTGTGAAAATTGGAAGCAGAAAATGTTTTTTTCAACACAATTCGAAGTAAACAGAGCATCTGAAGGCAAGTGATTTTATTTTGAATTATGCATATCCGAATCATCACTCGAACCGCTTAACATACGTTCCACCTGAAATATATCTATTGGCTGTACCCGACGGGTTATTTTTAAATTGTGCTTTCTGAAGAGAGGTTATGTTCAAAGTTATAAATTACGAAAATCGGAGGAGAATTACGGGAAATCATCACCGCGCCCGCATTGTGTGTAATTACTGTTAGCATGTATGTATATGGCTTGTAATTTGACAGTGTTCAGTGAATATGATTATTTCTTATCTCTCTCTTTTTTTAAACTCGGCAAATTTGAATATGTAATTTCCAGAATGGATAAGAAAAAGTGGTTGCGCAACTAATTTCTAGCTTTTAATCTCAATTAAGTGTATTTGGGACAAGAACCCAATGTAATTATTATCAACACATACAACTTACAGCTTAGACCTCCAGTAATGCCATCTCAGAAGCAGATTTTAGATCACATCAGAGCCAAAGATTGATAACAAGCCTCATGACGTTTAGGCAACACGTTCAACTAAGTGCTAACATCTTGTAGAAAAACCTACGTGTCAAAAAAAATCGGCATAATGTCACTTTTCAAGATACGTGATACGTGCCGGTTGTTGACGTCATCACATCAGCTGTCAACCAAAAGTTCACGAGATCCATCAGTGATGAAATCAACCAACGAATTCGAATACCTAAATCAAATTCAAGCGGATAACCAAATGAAAATGGTATTTACCATTGTGGGTTGGTATTGACCGATCCGTTCAAGCGAGTGTGGTTATTAGTTTGGTTAGAAGATCCGTGACGTCATGAATCAGCTGTTATGTGTCATAGTTATCACCGCAAAATTATGATATTTACCTCTCAGGAGTAGTTTTATATTTCTGGTTATTATTTGAAATGTGACAAGTTAGAATTTGCCGCGTATTGGACATTAATCAAATTCAAGCGGATAACCAAATGAAAATGGTATTTACCATTTTGGATTGGTATTTACCGATACGTTCAAGCGAGTGTGGTTATCAGTTTGGTTAAGATCCGTGACGTCATGAATCAGCTGTTGTCATAGTTATCACCGCAAAATTGTGGTATTTACCCAACTCAGGAGTAGTTTTATATTTCTGGTTATTATTTGACATGTGACAAGTTAGAATTTTGGCGGGTATTGGATATTTTTATTGTACTTCATTTTTGGGAAACTTGATAGAGGCTGACTTCAGTTTTAGCATAAGAGAGCACCTTATTAATTATAATCATTACTGTTGTTGGGGACACTTTAAATCTAGTTCCTACGCTTAACAAAGTATCCTGTATAGCCATACACCACAAGAATATTAAATTATGGCCATATAAACTCACTGGATGATGTCCACCTGTATACGGGTTTGTTAATATCTTTTTTCATCATTTTTGCTAAATCAGTAAATATTTTCTTTGACATGCGGAAAAGTTTTGAGAATTGAAAGTTATCATAGCTACAAAGCCATGGTTCCATCAGTAAAAATTTTTTTCTGAAAATAAGACATTCCTCCCATTAATATTATGAAAGGTTTCTTTTTTCAACTTTCCATACCCCGTCGTAGATGAAAAAGCACCGATTATTAAGTGATAACAAAAATAATAAGAAATTATACTTTGAAGTTGAGTAATTAATTTTCAGATAATGATTATAGAAGGAAGATAAACCAAAATATGTGTGTAAAAATAAAAAAAATGTTTATCTTGTTTTATAAAGTATCCTCCCGACAAGTATTTCAGTGCGGACCTGTATTTGATCGTGAGGTCTTGGAGCATCGGCATGCCGTCCCCTGTGAGGTCTTAAGTCACCTGATTCACGAGCCCGTTGTACTACATTAACAAAGGCACGAGGGGTTGGTTGCACTCGATTGGGAAACCGATTCGCATAAACATGTGCCATTTTTGATTTCGTTTGAGCCACGCAACAGACACGACTATTCACTCACGCGTTACCGACTGACACTGACTGTATACAACTGAATAAAATAATTGTAAAAACATCGTTCCCAATTCTTTCGCTTTTTTGTTTCCGATGCGATGAACAGATAAGGCGGATTATATCCGTTGTTGCCAAACACGAGCACATAATATTATTATTGAGACAGGGCGGTACTCAAACTTCCAAAGGGCTATAACTTTGTTACTTTAATTTTACCAGAAAAATGGTAAAGGAAAAAAACATTTCTTTTGATCAGATCTACTCACTGTTAAAATAAATGACTCAACTTCGAAGTCACCCTGTATACGAGCTTTTCTAAAATAAACAACTTGAAACAAACCGCGGTTAAAACCAACGCGTTCAAGCGATTCGAGTAACTGACGTCATCATCCCGTGTGTCATCTTCAACTATATTATAACCGCGGTACATAATACGGAAATTTTGGTTATTCGCTTGGATTTGATTATTGCCATTGTAATGGGTGATTCATTTATAGGTACTTTTTTCAGCAACAAAATAAAATAACAAAATTCTTGAGATAGTCCATGCTAAAGTTCCAATTTTCGATGACACGTTGGAGTATTTGGACTGGAATTTGTCAAATGACCTGCATAATGTTGGCTTCTAATTCCTCAATCGTATTGGGATTATCAATGTAGACTTTGGACCTAAAGTAGTCCCAAAGGAAAAAGTCTAGAGGTGTGATATCACATGATCTAGGTGGCCAATTCACTGGTCCAAATCGTGAAATTAAGTGTTCATCGAAATATTCTCGCAATAAAGCCATGGTTGCACGGTCTGTGTGGCAAGTGGCGCCGTCTTGTTGGAACCAAATGTCATCGAGATTACGGGTTTCAATTTCAGGCAGCAAATAATCCGTTATCATGGCGCGGTAACGAGCACCATTCACAGTTACGTTCTGACCGGCCTTATTTTTAAAAAAATAGGGACCGATGATTCCACCGACCCATAAACCACACCAAACCGTTGTTTTCGCTGGATGTAATGGCAGCTCTTGAACCACTTCAGGTTTTTCTTCACCCCAAATACGACAGTTTTGTTTATTAATGTAGCCGTTAAGCTAAAAATGGGGCTCATCGCTAAACAAAATTTTGCTCGAAAACATAGGATCTTCTTCAAGCCGTGCAAAAGTCCAAAGATTGAAACGATGACGCTTTGGAAGGTCGGCCGGCTTCAGTTCTTGAACGAGTTGAATTTTGTATGGTTTCAATTTAAGATTCTTACGTAAAATACGCCAAGTTGTTGAATACGACAAGCCAAGCTGTTGAGAACGGCGCCGAATCGATTCTTCACGGTCCTCACGTATACTCTCAGCTACCGCAGCTATATTTTCTTCACTGCCTGCTGGATGTGGTCTATTTGGTCGGGTATCCAATAATGAAAATTGGGTTTTAAACGTTTCGACCGTATGGCGAAGTGTGCGTTCGGCGGGCCGATTATGTACACCATAAGTTGCTCTAAGTTCACGAAACACACTTCTCGCAGAACGTTGATTTTCGTAGTACAGCTGAATTATTTGTAGACGCTGTGCTGGACTAAGTCTTTCCATGATGAAATGTCGAACAATACTCAAACAGAGAATGTCAAATTAGTTTTCATGACGCATGCGCCATAAGCAATTACAGCCACACCAAAAAAGTACCTCTAAATGAATCACCCATTACTTCAGCTTCATTTCTGGGAAATTTGATACAGGCTGACTTCAGTGTTAGCATAAAGTGGAGCACCTTATTAGTTATACTCATTACTGTTGTTGGGAACACTTTCAATCTAGTTCCTATGTTTAACAAAGTATCCTGTGTAGCCATATACCACCAGAATATTAAAATATGACCATTCAACTCACTGGATGATGTCCACCTGTAAACGGTTTTGCTAATACCTTTTTTCATCATTTCTGCTAAATCAATAAATGTTTTCTTTGACATGTAAAAAACTTTAGAAAATTGAAAGTTATCATAGCTACAAAACCATGGTTCCATCATGAAAAAATGTTTTCTGAAAAAAAAAAAACATTTCTCCCATGAATATTATGAAAGGTTTCTTATTTAAACTTTCCATACACCGTTGTAGACAAAAAAGCACCGATTATTAAGTGATAATAAAAATAATCAGAGATTATATACGCACTTTTCTAAAATAAACAACTTGCAACAAAACCGCGGTTAAATCCAACGCGTTCAAGCGATTCGTGTAACTGACGTCATCAACCCATGTGTCATCTTGAACCATATTATAACCGCGGCACATAACACAGAAATTTTGGTTATTCGCTTGGACTTGATTCTAATCCGAATTCGTTTTAATCAACCGGTGAATTAAAAAATATACCTTGTGTATCGTGCATCATCAACAATTCATTCTAAATAGATTCATAGATTCGGGATGCGCTGCACAAAACACATAAGACTGCCTCGCCTGGTAAATTTGATCATGTCATGGTGAACGTTCAAAGCTTACATGGACCATTTCCGGAACATATTATTACACCATTAACAATAATTTTTGATAACTGATACGTAAATAGAAATTTGCTTTTAGATTACTTGGTCACTGATCAACCACCTAGTTACTTTTAAAGTATAAAGGATAATAAAGCACATGCTTATACCCTATCGAATTAACCATCTCAGATTCGTAAAAGGTTATAATTTAAACATAGGAAGGCACATCCATGATAAATATACTTTTATTGTACAAAAATACAAAAACAAAAGACAAATACATCAAAATTGGATACTGCTGTCAGCAGCTGCCATACATATTTACAATATGTACAAAAAATTCAGTGCTATCTATTACTTGCGAAATAAAATTTGAATAAAATCGTGCACATACTGGCACATACTAAATATATGCAAAATCGCACAAAAAATACTTGGGTTATTTGCTAATTATTTATGTATATTCAAAATGGCATTTCAGAGCAAGTAAAAACAATAAACACGATATTAAAGCATTACATTTTCAATTCCACTAAAATTACTTATATCTGACATTCATATCTCCTAATTTAAAAATATTTCAGATATGTCAAAATGAAATAAATCAGGCAGTATCAGTATAGTATAGGACTAAAATGATTCTCACCACATACATTAGGCAAGAGAATCTGAGCAAATTATGATAATCTGGTGACTAGGTAATGGATGTGCTAAACATCTGCTTTTTGAAGCGTCTGCATTCTCAAAGTAAAAAAATGTAAGGTTCAAATCGGATGTTTTTCAAACCAATGGTAATTTCTGTTTGACAGGCAATGCTAACTATATATATTTCAGATGCTGTTTCTGAACTTTGTATAATTTCTTATCATAAGTATGTGTTTATCTCTATAAAATTTTTATAGGGGTTCAAAAACAACAAAGAATTCGCTTAATCCAAGGTATTTCCGAAAACACACACACAAACAAAATATTTACTGGTTCAAAAAACACCCATGAGTGATATTTTTAGCCTCAATCAAAAATAGTATTGGCTAGAAAATCAAAAATAGTTTTGGCTGGAATTTCAAAAATATAAATAACATCAGATTATGGAAGATTACAATGCATATTCAGGGTGTTTAAATATCTTATATTATACAATGTAAGTATACATATAAAAATATGAAAAATATAAAAAAGGAATTATGGGGTAGATGTTTTTTATTATATAAACATAAATTCTATATTCCATCACACTTATTAAGAATCCAGGTTAATAGAAAATTTGAAATTATAGTTACTTAGTTTATTTGTGCTAAAAAATTACTTTGTTTAGAGTTAAGTACGTTTTGGTATAAAAGCTAATTATCAATAAAGTTTTGAGTACGTTTTCTCACTTATCACACAAACTTCCACAGACCATGGTGCTTGGCGCGTCCTTCCCCATTTTAGCGGATATAAAAATTGATATCACACATTGTGCGTTGAGTTTAGTATTGCGATTTTAAACCAGTAACAATAACAAAAAATTGGGAATTCATCCTTGAAGTTAATTCAGTTTTATTTGGACTGTTGATGATAATTCATTTGCATAGTTATCAAAATACAAAAGTGTGACACTTTCTCTTACTTTAGATGATATAAATTAATTTTTTGTCCCCAAATTAACCATTACTGTTTAAGCTTTTCAAATTGAGATTTGATAGAATATGTATTCAAAGATATGTACAACAGCGCCAAACTTGGATTGCGACTTGACAATAGCTAGCTGTCAAGTTGCAGTTTCATATAGCCAGACCTACACCTCACATTCAAACCCTTCCACATAAAAACTGAGTATTACTGCTATATCAGTCTATCCATAGAATTGCAAATACCTATTGGTCATACAGACGTCTCAGAATTCAACCTCAGAACGAACTTATTGCTCTTAGGATCCACCACCTCTTCCAATATGTTGAAGTGCGGCATTTTTTTTATACTGCATAATAATGACACATCATTTTGCCTCAACTGGAAAGTAGTACAATCTCCTATTGGCCTTGTGAGCAATTCTTCACATATCAAAGCCCAAGTTTGAACATCCCTGCTCTCTTTGTCGTTTTGCAAAACAGGTTCTGGAACCAAGTATGGCTCCAGGAACGCCTTTGGTGTCATATCATTGCTAAGACAATGAGCCAAATGAGCCAAAATACTGTCCACAGAATGTCTGGGTTGTTGCCTAGTGACTCTGAGGTATTTCTGCAAAGACCTGGCCATGGAAGGAAATATAGCTTGCGCGGCTTCATACGAATCCATTGGAATGGAAGAAACTTGATCATTATGCAAGCGTTTTATGTGCGTGAACGCTTCCTCAGCAGCTGTGACAAGTCTTGCTCTTCGTTTTTTAACTCTTCGTTCATATTCATGTTCTTCATAGAACCGTTCGTTGTGGCTAGAGTCTCTTCGACGAGCGTGTGCTGCTAACATAGCCCGCGACTGAGACTGATGTATTGGAGTATTGTTTATACCATCCACTTCATAGAATTTGAAACTAGAGGAGGTTTTTCTAGATTTTGAAACTGGGATACGTTCTAAGTAAGGATTGTAAATAGGAAACTCTGTGTAATACTTTTCCAATACCCAAACTGCAGCCCTTTGTATACTGAGCTGACCAATTCCATAAGCTTTACTAACACCATCTGGGCTTCTAACTATTTTTATGTAATACATGGGTTGCAAGTGTCTGATCTCCAAGAGAATCACAGCTAGGTAATGTATGAATAACAAGGTGTCTGTTAAACTTAAAGCATATGCTACCAGTGCTTTATAATCTACAGTATCTTCAAGTGTGATGGCAGCTCTTGCAGCCTCAGTCACTTGCACAATATAAAACAGCCAATAGGCTACACTGGATATGAGTATGAAAGTTAGGATAACTACTCTGAATAAAAAAAATCTAGGCAGTGTTGCATGTGGTTTCCTGAGGAAAATGGCCCATGCACCAATGGCTAAAATGGCCAATTTAAAGGCCAATGACACAAGTTGTCCTTTGCATTCCACGCCGCAGGCTAGAAGCTTAATACTATCTGCTATTCCTAGCCTGGCTGTCAGTGCTGGAAAGAAGCCGACTTTGGGAAGAATTACCATAGCCAGAGGGCTAAGGAAGGCTACTGCTGAAAGGATGTAGGTGAAAGTTGTACCAATGTACCTATAATTAGAAAAAATGCTATTTATTGTTCTGCTGGAGAATCCAGTCAAATTATTTTACTTTAGGTAGGGTTAACATGACAGTCCTAGATAAAATTTGTCACATTTACCCACAATGAAATCTACTTTACTTTATTTCCACAATGTTAGGTGACTACAACAGAAACTGAGGATGTATCAGCTTTCCAGTCAAATGTATCAAAATCTAGTATAACAATTTTGCAGAAAAATATGAATGTAGCAGAAGTTTTGTCTTTTCAGTTTTTTAGACAATGATTTTTTTTAATATAACATGTATCAACAATAATATGACAAAAATCCATCAACTAAATATTTCAAAAACATGATGATATGGGATTTCTCTCAAATTTTGATGAGACAATTTAATATCTGAAATTTTTGAAAACTGGTACATTGCTTTGTTTTATTTGTCCTAAAGTTTCCCCATTATTTAGAGATTAATTTTCTTCATAATTTTATGTTACTGATCCTTAGAAAGTTTTAGTGGTCCCAGAAACTTTAATTTTGGTACAAATCTAACTTCAATATGTTTTCAAATTGCAGATGTCTCAGGAAATCTTTCAAATGGTAATTAAGTCATTTTCTACATGCTTGTATTAGCTTTTTTGTTGCTTTAGTTAATATGCTTGCATAATTAAACAATATCTATACCATTTTGCAAAGAGTACTGAAATGTGCATATTTTTGGCCCTTCAGGGGTTGAAAACAATGTTATTTTTATGTTTGTTAATATTAGGCACAATAGAAACTTGTACTACACACATGTGTGTAGTTTGAAACAGGTTTATAATATATTGCTTTTATGGAAGATACTAAATTGATATTATGATTCATGACCTTACATTTTATATTTTTTTATAATTATAAAAATAAGGATTGCAATTTCCATCAGTTTTATGTATTATTTTTGCAGTGCTTTTAAAATATGTTTTATAAAAATAGTAAGATAGTCTGCTGGAAAATGATTGTTTGACTTGAGTGTATCTTGGCTTCCTGATTTCAGATCTTTTCAAATTATATAATCTTTTTTATATTACCTTTGGCATACAAAACTAATCCCCCCATCTGGTTCACCAGGCCAGTTACTAACATCCTCTGTAGATCCAGATTGCTCAGAGGTGTTGCCTGTTATAGCAGTAGTATTTTCACCCCAGTTGTCATCCTGCGGCAAAATTTGGACTTCAATAACCTCTTGTCCTTCCCTATTTTCTGGGGTTAATGTCACTGCTGTTTGGAATGGGGCCATGATATCCTCCTTCTGCCTACTTGATTTGGAGGACCTAACAATGAGATAAAAAGTTTCTAATAAAAGGTATCGCAAAATTCACTCAATATTTAAATTGAATAGTATAGACAGTTTTTATCATAGATTAATTATACCTTATATCACAAGTATCCATATATATATATATATATATATAGAATCAGTATTCACAACAAACTATTTGGTCAAAATTTATTGATTATTTTGCATAAATGTTGAATTTCTTTGAAGTAGATCTTAATTGCTTTGTTAATTGGAAAGTGTCTGTGAGCTTATTGGCATAGTCTTTGACTTCAGATCTATCTTGTTGTTATCCAATTTAGCAGGAAAAGAAGCCTATTGAGATTTGTGCATCAATAGAGGAAGTTCAGCATTGCTTCATCAAAATTTACCCACATTTATGCTAATTATAGATAATTTTGATAAGTGTGCATGTAGTTTATGATTCAAAATAAATAAATTAATGCATAACTGTTTTCTACTTAATTCAAATATGGTGTGGATTTTTGATACCCTGAGGAAACTAAGGTTCTACATAAATTTATTTGGCCGAGATTTTTACATGGTATGGGTTGTGACTTCTTATAAAATTAGACTGAAATTGATTCTCTCACGAACTAAAATGCGATTAAAATGAGTTTCAATATCTTATAAAGGAATTAACAAGTTTTACCTGGTACTTCTGTAGGAATGTTGCCTATAATTATTTTTATCCCTCTGGCTTCTTGATCTCCTTGATTTTGAGCTGTTCTCAGATTTCACCGACTCCGTTTCCATGTTTCTTGCAGTTTCATTACCCATTCAATCGTAATAAATACAATATTGAAATTCATGGGAACTTCCACTGTTTCTGGAGGCTCATTAAAAAATTAATCAAGAGCACAAGAACTAGAGACATAATAAATGTAATTTTGATTGGTTTTGGCCTAGAAAAGCTTGATTATAACCAGAACGTCGATCCAGTAATTTTGAGCAAATAAAATTATACAGGTCTCAGAAATCGCATAGAAGTTATTGCCCTCATAATTTGAACAATAGTTGTAAAAGTAAACGATCTGTTAACCGCACTTATTATTCCCATTTAGGCAGCGACATTCAGCTGCATTTTCTGTTTCACTAATACGATCTTCGGGGCGAACACATTTTCCGTAAAAACTGCATATTTCAGTCAATTAAAAATCAATTTTAATAAAAAACAATTTTACATAAACTCTAGTTATGACAACATGGCTACTGTTCGCCGCCATATGACATTGTTGCCATTCTGACATTGACACTTCTCTCGCTTTTCTCATTCACTGCTCCAAGGTTCTTATTGTTCTGTATCATGGAATCGCAGTTGCAAGGCACTGCACAGCTGGACATTATTGGATCATTTTCTAGCAGTGGCGTATCCAGAATCAATAATCAAATTCAAGCCGATAACCAAATTAAAATGGTATTTACCATTTTGGGTTGGTATTTACCGATCCGTTCAAGCGAGTGTGGTTATAAGATCCGTGACGTCATGAGTCAGCTGTTATATGTCACAGTTATCACCGCAAAATTGTGGTATCTACCCAACTCATGAGTAGTTTTATATTTCTGGTTATTATTTGAAATGTGACAAGTTAGAATTTTGCCGGGTATTGGATATTGTTATTGTACTTCAGCTTCATTATTGAGAAAAATGATACAGGCTGACTTCAGTTTTACCATAAAGTGGAGCACCTTATTAGTTATACTCATTATGGTTGTTGGGGACACTTTAAATGTAGTTCCAATGCTTAACAAAGTATCCTGTGTAGCCATATACCACAAGAATATTAAAATATGGCCATATAAACTCACTAGATGATATCCACCTGTATACGGTTTTGCTAATATCTTTTTTCATCATTTCTGCTAAATCAATAAATGTTTTCTTTGACATGCGGAAAACTTTTGTGAATTGAAAGTTATCATAGCTGCAAAACCATGGTTCCATCATTAAAAAAAATTTTATGAAGAAAAAACATTTCTCCCATGAATATTATGAAAGGTTTCTTATTTAAACTTTCCATACACCGTTGTAGACAAAAAAGCACCAATTATTAGGTGATAATATACGCACTTTCCTAAAATAAACAACTTGCAACAAAACCGCGGTTAAAACCAACGCGTTCAAGCGATTCGTGTAACTGACGTCATCAACCCGTGTGTCATCTTGAACCATATTATAACAGCGGCACATAACACAGAAATTTTGGTTATTCGCTTGGCTTTGATTAATATCTTGTAGGCAAAGGAAAAGATCATATATTTCTTCCCTAAATTTCCTGTCGGATTTACCGTCCATTGGTAACTTCTTACTATTCTTCTATTAGAAATAACTTTATAAACTGAACTTAATTAATTTCCAACATATATCTTATATATCCATATAGATTTGAAATGATCGACATCAGCCTTATCTGTAAACTGCAGCAACTCCATATAATGATGGTTTGGTATCTTGGGGTAAGAGATATAATGAATTAACGTTTTTTTTTTTTTAGTTTATTCAAGCCTTACACAAAATTACAAAAAGTCGACGTTTTTTTAAATACATTGACTACTGTTCATTTGCTTTCATTATTGGAAATGATTTATCTAAAAATGATTGTGTTGTGTGTCAAATACAAAGGACGAATATAATAATTGCTATTTAATATAAAATACTTGCGTTGGTGGCAGTCTAAAACCGAAATATCCTGTTTTGTTGACAAACTTATGGTAGGTACATTTCAATACAAAATGTATTACAAGTATTATATGGCAGTGCAAACATTTCACACACTATGCTTTATTTTTTTTATTTTTATCTCGTCCTCAACTACGTAGAAGGGTTTTGAAAATGCACTAATATTCGGAAAATAAATGTTTTCTAGAATATCCATTCACTAAACAAACTCACAGAATACTTAAAATAACACGAGTACGACTAGGTATTTTTGGGATCCATCGATTTGAAATTTGACTATACATTAAAAATACTGGCAGTGTTTTGCAAACGAATCTGTTGTTTGGTGGACTAAGTTTCAGCATTGTATCCTAAAAAATCTTCAGTTTTGTTCGACGTAGATGAATCCCCTTTTTTTTAAGGCTCATCATGTCATGATATCAGATGCTAAAACGCTTTTTGTTGCCCTATCAACAAAAACTATCACTTGGGTAGGGGTGTAGACGACCTGAGGTACGACGATGAGAAGGCAGGCGGTAAACTGGCAGTTGTAGATAGCGTATTGTCCAGCTTCCTGGCTTCATGCTCCAGAAGTAGAGCATCCAAGGAGGGATCTTGCGAGACAGTTCTCAGAGAATCCCCTAACGTTTGACGAAGTTGTTGCATCTCACGATCGGTTTTGGTGCTCCGAAGTACATATTGTTGACGCCTTTTTATCTCTTGGTTGAGCTGCTCTCGTAGCAAGGATACCTACAAATATGAATAAATCTTCAAAATTCAAGCAACAAAAAGATTCCCTTCAATTTTCCGCTGCAATGCACGTCAACATATTAACGACAATTGAGAGATATATAAAGGCTAGCGCACACCGATAGATATGGCATGCCAGAAAAATGAAAAGGGTTTTTTAGGGAGCGAAGGATGATGAGAAAAATCGAAAAATGTGTATGATACCGCAAGCATCCGTCTGCATCCGGCCCGCTTACGTCAGTATCGATAGCCTTACAGCCGAGAGATGCCGTAGAATGCTGAAGGATGCTACGTCATACCGAAACCTCCCACACGGGTATTACGTAACTTAAAAAGTCGTTTTGTAGTTGTATGTGTTGCCTAAACGTCATAAGGCTTCAGTTATCAATGTTTGGCTCAGATGTGATGTAAAATCTGCTTCAGAGATGCCATTACTGGAGGTCTAAGCTGTAAGTTGTACCTATTCTATTAGTCTAATCATATTAGCAAATTTTCCCGAAATAATTGTAAAGTCTGGTTTTAATGGTGCAAGTTGTTCAAGGGGGTATTTAAAACATGGACACATACACACACCAATTTTTTTGGGAAAACTTTTTATTTAACAACAAAGAATGAGAAAACGTGTTTTCTGGGATTCAATCGCAAGCGTTGACAGAAACGAAAGAACTTTTCATTCAAGATTTTTAGGTATTTATGAGACCTACAAAATGAGATCACACGTAAAAAGATCCAACTAATAGCAAAAATGTTATGGCCGAAAAACCAGGTGTTGGCACTTATTGGTAATGCGACGATAATTTCATGCATCTACCTGAAATTCTTCAAATCCGTAGGATTCATACTCCTAAATAACAACAACAAAGTTAGACGGCCGGATAACAAGTGTTTTGGGATAACAATTTGAAATTCTCCAAAACTACTTGACCAATCTACTCCAATCGTCGCAACAAGTGCCAAAACCTGCAGTTTGCCTCAGTTGGCCATAACTTTTTTGCTATCAGTCGGATCTTTTTACGTGTGGTCTCATTTTGTAGGTGTCATATATACCTAAAAATCTTATGAGAAGTGTTTTTTCGTGCCTGCCATCACCTTCGATTGAATCCCAAAAAAACACGTTTTCTCATTCGTTGTTGTCGAATAAAGTTTCCCACAAAAAAGGGTGTACCCATTTTATGCGTCCATGTTTTGAGTACCCCCTTGAACAACTTGCAGCAATAAAACTAGACTTTACAATTATTTCGCAAACCAGGGGTATTTTCGTCTAATCTAATATGATTAGACTATTTAGCTAGAAGGAAACGGCAATGCATAGGAGCATGGTGAGGATATGTGTGCTAATAATATGTGTTGATGATAGTTTTATTAGATTCTTGTCTGAAATACACTTACTTGAGATTCAAAGTTAGAAATTAGTTGCGCAAAAAACTTTTTCTTATCCATTCTGGAAATTACATTATGCAAATTTACTGAATTTTAAAAATGAGAGAGATAAGAAATAATTATATTCACTTGCACACTGTCGAATTACAAGCATGTATATGGTAACAGTAATTACACACAACGCGGGCGCGGTGGTGATTTCCCGTAATTCTCCTCAAAGTTTTTGAAAACACATCTTGAGATCGATTTTGGTGGAACTAAAAATATCAAGTTCACTTACACTGTCACAGACATTACACATAACATAAAGAGGCGAAAATGGCAATAAATTTGTCCGCGGAACAGGTAAATAAAATGAAATGTTACCACCCTGATGAGTACGCAAATCGGGAACGCGTAGAGAGATCCTGTTTAGAAGAAAAGGTCAATCAATTGTTCCATTCAACAAATTATATAAAAATTTAGCAGCTAACAGATTCATACGTTTGACTAAATTAGGTAAATTATATCTACTTAAGAGAATGTCATTGTGTATACCCCTTTCAACGTACGCCCTATTATCTTTAAACCATAAGTATTTCACAAAACGACGTTGGATTCTCTCGATGTTTTTACAGTGTATATCATGGGCCTGGTACCAGATAATCGAACAGTATTCTAAAATAGATCTGACAAAAGCATTAAAAATTAAAATTAATGTATTAGTATTATTGAAATGTCTACTGTTTCTTATAACAAAACCAAGATTTTTAAAAACTTTTGCTATTATTGCATTAAAGTGATCAATAAAAGAAAGCTTTAGATCGAATAATACGCCCAAATCCTTGACGATATTAACACGACAAAGAACATTGCTACCGATTTCAAAATTAAAACATGTCGGTGACACCCTGCGTGTAAACGTCATAGTAGTATCTACATTTATTGACTTTCAAGTGCCTGTTATTTACTTTACACCAGTGATCAATGACATTCAAATCAGCCTGTAACCTTAAACTGTCTTCTAAAAGCGACACACGCCATTAAAAATTTTGAGGTCATCGGCATATAGCAGGTACTCACAACGCAAGTCTGTTGTAAAATCATTGATAAAAATTAAAAATAATAGAGGACCCAGAACAGAACCTTGGGGCAACCCTGGTGTAGCTAAAACCGCACCAGATTTATATCCACAGAAGTCCACAAATAATTGTCTATCACTGATGTATGACTGAAAGAAAGCTAAGAATCTATATGTTAAACCGTACTTAGACAACTTCTGCAGTAAAACATCGTGATCCAAACGGTCGAAAGCTTTCCAAAAGTTAGTATAGACTACATCAACTTGCCCGCCATTATCCAGAACTGACGCGGAGTACTTCTTAAAACATGCCAAATTACTACACGTAGATCTACCCTGTGATACCGTCATAATCTAGCAGGATGCTAGGGGTGCCGTGAATGCTTGTGGCATCGCGAAAAAAATTTACACATCAGTGAGCCTGCCGGAAAGCAAATCTTTTTTGCTTTGTAAGATATGCCGTAAGGTGATTTGGTTATTTGCTTTCTCTAATCGTTAATATACTAAATGAAATAGAAATGCAACGTCGACTAGGAGCGCTGTAATTTTGAGCATACTTTTACAAGTTGTAGGTCTACTGATGAATGGAAAGTGATTACAATTTTAACTCGAAATTTCTCAAAAAAAGCTGAGATATCCCACCCTAATGATAATAATGTGTTGAAGCTCCTCTGTTCGCTACGCATTCTTTAAGTCGTCGCGGCATTGATTGGATTAGGTGATTGATGTCTTCTTGGTGTATTGTATTCCTGGCCATCTAAATTTGGTTTCGTAGAATCTCGAATGTTTGTGGACGGTGCGATGAATTTTGCAACCTTCTTCCCATCATGCCCCATACATGTTCGATGACCTGCTGCTGTAAGCAATGGAACAATATACCATACACACTCACAGTGCGACGAATATGCTGTTCAATGGAATGTTGGACCACCAGTCTTTCACCACGTCTCCTCCTTACTCTTGCACGGCCATCATGTGTGCCCAAACAGAATCTGGACTCTGAACACGGTTGAGTTCCATTCAATATTACATTCAATCCTCCCCCTACTCTATGCCAATAGCATCAAACCACTGGTTCGCAACTGCCCTGGTTGTGAAAAATCGAACTATAAGTGCTAGTTGCCTCAAATAACGATTCTGTCGCTCTGTAGTACCTCTAACTCGTCAATTTCGAACTTCTTGGAACCACGCTCGACAACATCTCATTGCAGTAGCTTCGTTTCGATTCACCCGATTAGCGATTTGTCTGAAAGAAAATCCGGCTTCACGTAACCCGATTATTCGACCCCTCTCAAACTCAAAGCTGAGTGAAAATAGCCCGTCTGTGAACTCTAGGCATGATAATCCAATGAAACAACAATGAAATAAATGGAACCAACACAGAAAAATCGCTGAATATTAAGTAAACATGTTCATATTATTCGGATCCTGATATGACAAAAAAGCCTTTACGAAAAAAATACGGATCGGAATGCCTTCAACATTTTATCAGCGTATACTTCCATGATAGCAAATATGTTTACAACATTTTATCAAGATTCAATAAATAATTCTAGGTGTTGCGTTTTATATTTCATTTAGTATTTTTGAAAAAAATACAGAATCCAAGTGGCTCGATTCTAGGAATGGAATAGGTTTTTCTTTCTTTTATACAGTGCTTTTCATTTCAAGGAGCTATGGTACATAGCAAGCTGCACTTCAATTTTTAAATAGAATAGGGATCATGTGATAAAACTAGGACCTTATGAGTACTTTATGACCATAGAATGTAAATTAACTATATCTTAAAATAACGTATTGCCGGGCTGATATGTTTAGAGCATTTGTATACATGGAATCACTTGTAGCTCAATAAACTAATTCCGCCTAAAAACAGATACGTTTCGAAAATTATTTGAATGGAATGTTCTATAGTTTACTCATATTACATAGATCCTTCCAAGATAAGGATGATTGGTTTTGTTGGTTGGGTTCAATGTACAAAATGTACAAAAACATTGAACGTTGTATTGAGTATGTATGTGTATGCCGTACATGACAACCCAACCTTTATGAAAATTTTTGAATGCAGAATTTACTGTCCTCATTTAGCTGTATTCTAACATCAATTCTTCTTATACAAAACAGGAAATCAATATCACTTTTCAGTCCTTCAGAATGTCCCAATGTACTTATACGTAATATAGATAAAAGACACTTTGAAACAATATTTCCTGGATTATCAGATTATTTCGTCTATTATCATCTAGTTGAATGAAAATCTGAGAAATCTGATAGAAAATTACTGTGCTTACTTGGTTCTCTAATCTAGCGACCTGTTGTCTATGACTCTGTTCCCGGGCATCTAGCAGCTTCTCAGCCTGTAACTGTGCCGCCCTGTACCTTTCTACTTCTGACCTGTCAAACTTAACTTCCAAACTTGGCCGTTGTAGTCTCAGTTTGGATATCTCGACATCTTTATCTGCAATCACATTTTCCAGCTGCATTACTTTCGTTCTTAGTTCTTTGATTTCTTGTTGACACTTCTGGTGTTCTGATATGGTCGAGTCTAATTCGTACTTCTCCGCATGTTCATAGGATTTGGTGCGTAGAGATGGAGTTGAGACACCTTTGCCTGCCAGTCTTTCCAGTCTGCTATTCTCGGATTCTAATTGTCTCAACTAAAAAAGAAATAACTTATTTCGCATTTAGAATCGCTGCTTAAGTTAGCAACCCTCCCCCTCCATGTCCTTACATTTTACGGAAAAGCTTCCAAACTACTCATTATTTACTTATTTTTCTTTCCAAAATACTCGCTTTCCTCACTTTTTTCGAGGCTCCGACCTGTGGACAGCCTGGGCCTCAGATATCACAAAAAATATAATGCCGTCGTAAAAATGTTGTATAAATTTTATGGTTTGCACGTAATGGCAGTTAGAATATAAAAATTTGCCTCAAAAATGAGTAAAAAAAATCGCTGTCATAAATCTGATTCATAAAAAATCCTCCAATTAAGCGCCGATCATTTAATGGTATTGACGCACGTTTTTTTTTATTTAGTAAACAAACATACCATTCAAATCGCGTCAACATAGTGTATGTAGAGTTCCACCAAAAAATTGACAAAATATGACTCAGTTTGCTGTTTTATGAGGAAAAATACATGTATGTGGAGCTCTAGGGGAAGGGGCAGTTGTGGGGGTGGTGGAAGCCCCAAACCCCTAAATACGCACTTGACCTAGCCACATATATTATTTTATCGAATATCAATGCATTCGCAAACCTAACGGTGTCGAAAAGTAACATAAACATGCCCACGTTTGGTTAGTTATTGTACTCCCTCATTTACAAATACTGACCTAAGTTTATGGCTATAGCCCCGAGTTTGTTGTGTATGCAGTCTTACCTTAGTGTTCAGCGCATCCAGTTTCCCCTTCATGTCACTCCTCTCCCTCTGCAGCTGGTGCAGCTGTGAACGCAACTCCTCCTCGTGATGGGAAGCACTAACTCCGCTGCTTCCACCTCCTCCTCCGTCCCAGTGGGACATGCGCAGTTGCGATTCCAGCCCCGCCTTCTGTACTTCGACATTGGCCAATTCGTTATTGAGACGGGCAACCTGGTCCTGTAGAATCTGGTTATTCCTGCGCAACTCGGCCAGGTTCTGTTGAGTTGCCTCAAAACGCTCAGTCAAAACGCGACGCTCATTTTCGCTGTTGGCTTGTTGCTTTTGTAACTATAAAAACATAAAATAAAAACATATATTAAAATCTATAGCTGAAATAGATTCTTTACATCCGCATTGTTGAAGGATGATAGTTTATCCTCATTTTTACGCCCCGTGTTAGAAAGAAAGAACGTATTTAAAATGCGTACATTGAAAGACGACTCATTTAAATCAGATTCATTTCCTGCTGAGGGAGTCAGCCAAATTTTACACTAAAACTTTGAAGGACGAGATTTGCCACTTCTCGTTCTTAGAAAAAGATTATAAACTTCTCATTTTTATTAGCGGGTTACCTTTTAGATCACTCTACCTGAGCTAGAACATTTAGGCTAACGAGATGTCCCAAAATAAAATTAGCAGCGATCTTTATCTTGAATTCGCCGTTACATTTCAACGTGCTACGCAAAACTCTTATCATTATTTTATGATATTCTGGGGTTATGATTCCTAGTACCGCTCAAATGTCGTTGTACCCATTTTCTCATACCCGTGCATTTCCAAGAATGAACTGCAGAGCAGCGTGTTGTGAACGTATACAGAGATTCACTATTAGTTGAAAACTCATTCCTTAGAACTAAGCATAAACGTTTGAAGTTGGAAAATGATGATCATCGCCGAAGTCTGAAAATCAACAGCCCCAACCCAATGAAATTTTTTCGATCTTGGATTTAATAATAATAATAATAAACGTCTTCATTCGCCAAACATCAACAAATAAACTTTCATTTATATAAAAAAGATAGTTTAGCGAGAATCAAAGTTCAGATGTGCGCCACTGATGCACATCTTGTCCTTCCACTTAACCCTGTTAAATCATATTAATTCAACCCAACGCATAATGCCCTAATAATAACATATTGTAATAAGAATGAGTGATACTACTAGCGACATCTGTTGGGAACCACGCCAGGGACTCTTCTTCGGTGCGAGACTTCTAGCGACATCTGTTGGGGACCGCGCCAGGCACTCTCCTTCGAGATCCAAGACTGGCTCCGAAGGTTCTGGACTGCCGCTATGTGGCATACCGGAACCTTCTCCAACTAACGAGTACCTGCGATGCGGAATATATAAGTCGACGGCCGGAAGAGGGAAGCAGAGTTTAGTGAATGACGCGACATAATAATTCCTAAATAAGTAGTCTGACATAAATAGTGGTGTACATAAATGTTCTATCTAGTTAAGTTAAAGTTAGTTGTCTTGTGTTTTAAATAAATTAGTGCATTTCTTTTTGTGGAATCGAGTATTTTAATCCACACCCAACAGAACCCAGAAAAACGCTACAATATCATACACTGAACAAAAATAATAATGAATATTAAATTTGCATTGTCCATAGAATAATCAGCTCTGTTTGTTAAATGATGTCCGTTTGACATGGCTCTTGAATTTTATAATATTAATTTTTTATTTTTTTTTAGAAAAGCCATTGTACACACTATAAATTTGGTAGCAGAAACTTTGTTAAAAAAATCCATGATGAAACCTAAAAAATCTTACATTTAAAGTGTGTACACCAGTGCGAAATTTCATTTTATTATAAAGATATTTTCTTGAATACTTTTTTGTTAATTACTATTAATAATAATAGCTTTGAAAAATATGCTCTTCACTAAAAAAATATATGTGCTTAAGTAATCAAATAAAAACAATTAGAAACTGTTGGACATAAGTTGTTTTTGTAAGAAAAAAATGAAATTCGAAAAAAGTACCTTTATTTAAAAAAAAACAAAATGATTATATAAAAACGGATTAATAATGATAGACAATAAATTAATCTTCGCATCTACTGCTATTGTCGTCTTCTTTAATGTCAGAGTTATTTTTTAGGTGTAGGTTTTAGGTGTATTATTATCAAGGTTACGTTCGTAGTACTCTTTGTTAGATACGAAGCGTAGTCATGGTAATAGCAATTTTAAATTTTCTGCTTTATTTGAAGCAACTGGTAGTAGTTCATTGTAGTGTCTTTCAAGTTAGATAATGCAAGGTAAATTTGCTTTGCCAACGATACTGCTTCGAAATGGTCCGTTATACGTATCCTTTAATAATAGTGTAGATGTTTGGTTAGTAATTCTTATAATCCTGATGTATTTAATGTTATTAGCCGGCTTTGGATTTTTTAGAAAAAAGCTGGATGTTGTGGATTGTATATCAAAGAAGTCGTATTGCTTCACTTTCACCAAATTAAATGGGCTGGGCTTCATTCTAGCATTTAAAAATTTCCAGCAAAAAGCACACATGTCCTATCCTGTCCCGGACTTGTGCGGTATTACTTAAATCTTAGCATTTATGTCGTTTTTGCAGAATCTTTTTTGTACTATATGGTGTATCTAACTCAATTTCGTTAAATTTGGACTTATGCGTTTTTTGTAAAACACGCCTCAATTATTAATCTATGATATACACAAGCCGTGTGCTATACCCGTCTGTTATACATGTTTAGCCACACCCTATATCATATAATTTGTGAGAGACTCTGCTCTCTAAATGGGGACCATATACAACATCAGCATAATTTAGGATTAATAGAACCGGAACAATTTGGACATCGGAGGACATATGTGACTTAGGAGCAAGAGTGATATTTTTGAACTAACTTGCATAGTTCCAATTCACGTCATTAACAGTTTTTACCTGCTGCCTTAACCGAAAGCGTGGCCTTATACCGGGTGTATCAAATTGAAAACTCCGGAACGGTAAGAGATAAGAAGTCGCTTAAATGGGGACAAAGATGCCTATTTAGGTAGCTAACAAAATACCCTTAGAAAGTTTCGAAATTCAAGGTACTTCCGGAGTGAGACATAAAAATTCGAATTTCCACAAAATCGATTTAATGTTTTCCTGACTTTATTTGTAGTGGGATTTTGAAATAAATTACACATTAACATTGCTACTTTTTCTCCTCTTTAAGATGGGTTAATTAAAATTTCAATACGACGTTTCGTCTTTTGTCCTCGAGCATCAACTTTGTTTTTTCATGGTCGCAATATTGGATTTTTGCGCAGATAAATAATGTTTTCATTTGATTTCAAAAATGTATAATATGTCATACATTGACATTACCAAAGCTTAGTTATTCCAGAAACACAAAAGTTCCTAGGCAGGCTTTGAAATAAATGTCCCGGCAACATTATAACAGGGCAGTGTGTTTCTTTAAACCCCAAATTTTTAATTTATATAAAAGGCGTAATCGGAAGAATAACTTTGCAAGATTATTTTTAACAATTATTATTATCTCCCCACCACTTGTCAACAAAAGTAAACATAGCTTTTCATAAAAAATAAGCAAAGTGAAGACCCCCGCCCCTTTAGTGCTTACATAATACAGTAGAACCCCGATTATCCGAAATCCGCTTTATCCGAAACAGATCACATACAGGGTTTGTCCGGAAAGTAATAGGACGATTTAAAAAAAATTATTGAGCCAATCGTTACAATTCTTTAACAACTTCCAAAGTAGGCTCCTTCTGCGTCGATGCAGCGCTGCCAGCGCGATTTACAAGCATTGAAGGCGTCATGGAAGGCATTCTCCGGCCTTGAGAGCCGCGGTGCATGCTTTTTGGATCCTCTCTATCGTCTCACAATGCTTGCCTTTTATCGGCCTTTTCAGGCAAGGAAACAAAAAAAAGTCCGGGGGCCATATCTGGGCTGTAGGGCAGCTGCGGAAGCGTTGGGATGCCGGGCTTGGTCAGGTAGCTGTTCACAAGGATGGCGCTGTGAGCCGGGGCGTTGTCCTGGTGCAACTTCCAGTCGGCTGCGATGTCTTGTCGGACCCGACTGACCCTTCGTTTGAGTCTCCTGAGCACTTCCACGTAAAACTTGGCGTTGACGGTTTGTCCAGGGGGAACACATTCATTGTGGACGATGCCTTTGATGTCAAAAAAGACAATGAGCATCATTTTCAGTTTGGATTTGCTCATTCTTCCCTTTTTTGGGCGAGAAGACGCCGTCGTGTGCCACTCGGAAGACTGCCTCTTTGTCTCGGGATCATACTCAAAGATCCACGACTCGTCACCTGTTATTACGTTATTCAAAAATTAGGGGTCATTTTCACACATGTTCAAATTTTTTTGGCACACTTCCACTCGCCGCAATTTCTGGTCGTCAGTGAGTACTTTTGGGACCACCTTCGCGCACACCTTGCGCATGTTCAAATGCTGTGTCACAATGTCATGAACCACAGATTTTGGTAAATTTAACATCTGGGCAATTAAACGAATACTTATTCGATGGTCTGAGGTCAAAACTTTGAGTACACGAGTCACATTATAGATGTTCGTCGAAGTGGAAGGTCTTCCAGCACGGTCTTCATCAGCGACCTCTTCCCGGCCCTCCAAAAAGGCCTGGTGCCACCGAAACACACCACTTCTTGCTAAAGCAACACCTGGGTAAGATTGCTTGATCATATCAAACGTCTCTGTCGCAGATTTACCGAGTTTCACACAGAATTTAATACGTACCTCTGCTCTAACGAACGCTGCATTTTCGGCTTGCACCACTCACAGAAACACGTCGCGCGAAAATACCTGTCCTGACTCTCCAAGTGCTCGGAGACAACTGACCAGCCGCTCATTCGTTAGCTAGGAACGCCGTCTACCGAATCCAGTCGGTGCGAACACGCTCCGAAGTACAGTCATGGCGGAATAAAATGAGTCCTATTACTTTCCGGACAAACCCTGTACAATAATTTCTCCGTTTTAACCGAAGTCGTTCGGGAAATCGGCACATGATCCGAAATAGCCGCCTTTAGTTCCCCTTTCGGCGTTTGCGTAATTGGTATGTGTGCGTGTATGTTTGTTTCAGTCAGGTTCATAATCGCTAAGATGGAACAGCATAGAAATAAACGTAAACGCGTTGTTATTTCCATAGAACAGAATCTTGAGGCAACCAGACGTTTAGATAGAGGTGATTTGCTTAAAAACGTGGCAAGTGTGGGCGTGAGAATCAATTCAGAATGAAAAAAACAACGCGAGAAAATTGAAAAGAGGTCTAGTGTTCTGACATCATCGTAG